CCGGTGGCAAGACTTGGTATTAGCAGTGTTAATCCTTTGGCCTATGGTACCACACAGTATTTTTTTTTTACTGATAGTGGGGTGGGACTAAGTCCCTTGTACTGCGGCCACTTCTGGCCTATTGTACCAGCCCCAGATGATAGGTGAGGGTGATTGTGGAGCAATTAGTTGAATGAAGATTGGCAAGGGAAACCGAAGTACTCGGAGGAAACCTGCCCCAGTGCCATTTTGTCCACCACAAATCCCACTTGACCAGACCCGGGATCAAACCCGGGCCCCCACGGTGGGAAGCCAGTGACTAATCGCTTAAGATATGACGCGGCCTTACCACACAGTAAGTTAAGTGGGGGGAAAACAGTGTGAGAACATTATAGGGAAGTTTCACTGTAATAAATTACCAAGAATTTAGCTACAATATCTAATATACTTAGAAGATGAATACATGAATATTGTATTAGGTTCATTACAATTTACATTTTGGAGTGCCAGAGATAGACTCCCAGGGCCTACGTTCCAGCATCCAACTTCAATTACTACTCCTATACTACAGAACGCTTCCATTACACATTCAACATTTTATTTATACACATCCTAATTCTACCCCCCTAATTACCACTTGCCTAAATTTATGTTATTAAAAGATGTCACACAACAGCTCTCTACAAAATAGAAACTTACAGAGTAATTTTCAGAATGTCTCTTTGACTTGAGATGGAGAGATGCACAGTGAAGGTCTCCAATCCATACATCACAAAGCTTACAATACCATGCTGTTGCAGAAATGAAGAACTGCAAGCCTGAGATAAAAATAAAACAATTAGGGGATGATGGTCTCACAAGCTACTGTTGTGAAGTAGCTCAAACACATATAATGAAAATAAATGAAATATAACATTAAAAGATGGTCACACAGACTGCCTGAAAATAACATTAACTAAAAATATAAAATGTATACAGACAAAATAGCATTAAGAGTTGACGGACTCAACTGCTTGCCTTCAACTAACATGAAGCAATTCACACAAAACAAAATATGTAAAAATAACATAAAAATAAAACAGTGTTAAAAGGTGATGGGTTCAAGCACTTGGCCTGAAGCTAATATGAGGTATACCTCAACACAAAACAGGACATTCTGGGAAGGACTAATCACCCACTTTCCTTGATATTACATGGACTGCACAGGATTCACTGATGATGTAATGTTTTTATGGAGCCATTAACCAGCAGTGATAGGGGGATGTTTACTGAGCCACTGCCTAACAACAATAGGGAATACACACAGAGACACAGACTAATAGGAGGAACTTATGTAGTGCGCCATTGGGATGGGCTCACATGTCATGACACACATACCATGTTTCACAAAGATTGGTTCGGGCATTCAGAAGTTAATAGGAGTGGATATGCAGACACACAGACATCATGGAGATCACATAAGCCTATTTTAATTTTTTCAATATAACACAGGCTAAAAAAAAGAAAGATAAAATCTGGTGTGTATAACAGCTTGTCAGAAAATATGCAAAAACTTAAAAAATATAAAATGTATAAAAATTAAGGCTCAAGAACTTGCCTTAAGCTAACACGAAGCGTAAACTATATAAAATGTATAAAACTAAAAATAAAACAATGTTAAAAGATCATGGGTTCAACAGAATGCTTGAAACTAACACGAAGCAAATACAAACAATATAAATTACCAAAAATAAAATAAAAGTACAATGTTAAGATGTGATGGGCTCAAAAGCTTCCTAAATCTAATATGGTGCAATTCAACCATAACATGACATTAAGAGAGGATGGGATTGACAGCCTGCTTGAAACTAACATGAAGCAATTCAAACAATATAAGATGTACAGATCTATCTCCTGGGATACAACACTCTGTAGTCTGTTGAAAGAGAGCCAATGTTTCAGAAGAATATGTCTTCTCCATCTTTTGGCTGTGCTTGCTGCTTGCTTCATGCTGGATTCCTGTTTGACCATGAAGATGGATGCAACATGTTCCTCCGAAATGTCAGCTGACCTTCAATGGACTACATGGTGCTATATTCCAGAAGACAGAACCCTTAATAACCACTGCTGTGAGAACCTTAACTCCCGTAATATAAAATGTATCTCAGTACAATATTTTTAATGAACTATAAAAATATACAAAGAAGAGGTTCATAGTGCCAGTATGTTCATACTTTTCTTCAACACATAAGTGTTTCATCTGTACAACCTACATAAATGTTTACAATCCCTTCCAGTTCCAAAATCAAACATCTAGGATTCGGCCCAAATAAAGGTGGCAGAAGTGGCACACAAACAGGTGGATACAAGATTGCAAAACTTCTTTCACTTGAGCTTGTAAAACGTGAGGCACAAGCATAAAATCAAGAAAAAAATAAAGAATTAAGTTGCACAGCATTAGAAGAAAAGTGAACTTCAGCTACTGTCCATTTCTGTTTTTAGGAGGCATACAGTTCAAATTTCCTCCTGCATCCTTTATTCTATCTGGGAGAGAGTCAGGGTTTTTGCAGATATTCATGGCAGGAGTATGTTGAGAGTGTAACTACTGAACTATCTTTAACATGCTGACTGCAATCATGATTTCTTATAAATTTTCCTTTTATTAGAGGCCACTATGTTGAAAATGTCATTTTACAGATACTGGCCAATGCTGCAGGATTCACATGGCATAGAAGACAGACTAACTTAAGGTTAGCAAGCAGCCAATGACATTAGAACATATGGCAGCATTAGAGAACAAATATGGCTTTGAAGAGCTCCACCTTACGGGATCCAACACCATGTAGTCTATTGAAAATCAACTGCCTCACTTGCTGCCTGCTTCATGCTGATTTCTTGCTTAGGTAACTTGTCAACCCTGAAGATGGAAGTGATATATTTCTATGAAATGTCAGTTAACTTTCAATGGACTACATGACATTATACCCCATATACTATTGCAATGATCGATCTAGTTCGAGCTTGAATTCAAATAAACTTCCAACTATTTCCTATATTTCATTCAGTGAAAGGTTTATTTCTATATGAAGGGACTGATAATCTAGAATATGCCATAATTTTGACCACAAATGCCAAATATTTTGCAATAAATGCCACGAGTTTAAGCCTCAGATCATTAGGGACATTGAAAATGAACACGGAAGTGAAGTCTTTAGACTTTACACTGCAACACATCTACTCATCTATTACAATACATTCAATCCTACTAAAAATCCATTACAATTATCAAATATCACGAGAGAAACTCTTAAAGTTTCAAAGAATCTGTGGGGTCCAAACTCAGGAATCTTGTTACAAATCATTTGTCACCTTAATTGCATCCTAAAATGTACTGTGATATTTTGTCACAGACACAATAGTAATGGACGTGCATGCACGCACATGCACACGTGTAAACAAATAAGAGATAGGTATAGTTAGAATGCAGATTGTTAATAATACAGATACAAAGTAATATCATGAAAAAACAAATTATATTCTTTTATTCTCAATATAACAAATACAACATAATATTTATTGTTAAAAGATGATTGGTTCTCCCTGAAGAATCTACAAATGGTCTACATTTCAATTACATGGAACTATTTACAAATAACATTTGGGACTAGAATCAAAGCAACGAAGAGAGAAAAGTTTGAGGATGTTTCCTTTCTTGGACGGAAATCATACAAGATTTTCTTTTTTAATTACAATTACAATTACATTTTGCTCATACAAAATCAGTACACAGTCAACACAGAAATTTCCAACAATTTCAGACATATGGATTACTTATAAGCATTTCACAATATAGTGAAATACTGAATGTAAAATACATCTTCACAGTCTGTCTTGATTCATTCAGTAATCAGAAGAAACTGCTGCAATGGAGACAGTCAGAAACAGGTTCCCATGATGAGTATTTCCACTTCTCTGAGTTCACTTTCTGCTTGTGGTTACCAAATTTCTTCGACATACAATGCCACAAATATTAATCATGCCATGTGGCTCATGACAAAACTTCATTATTTAACAGACTCTGCAATCATCAATACGTTTGAAATATGCTGACCTATCACTATTAGTGGTCCCTTTATGTGATCCAAAAGTTAACTGCACCGAATGCTTGATGAAAAATAAGCTAATGCAATGGGATTGGATCCATGAAAGTGCATATGTTGTCAAGGACCAGTTTGCTATTTTTTAATTTAATGCCAACACGAGTTTCTTGAAATGCTCTACCTTCTTGTTAATGTGTCCAACCTGTCATCTCAGCGAACAAAATAAATGAAAAAGAATTATTACTACAGTCTGTTACTTTGTCCTTGTCTAATAACAGCTTTGGTATATGAAATATTTCGCGTCTGTACTGTTGGAAACTTAAGACTCACTGCTGCATATACACAGATCACAAAACATGAAAGTTTCTTTTGAAAGTGTTGCTGTTTACTTCAGAAATGACAATGTCATAAGAATTAAACATAATAAGCAAATTTATCATTTTATTTAACACTTACATACAAAGAAAGAGAAAACCAGACTGGAGGCTTCCAAAGCTGTTCTATAGGAAGTGCCCCACTGAAAAATTTTCAACTCTACTGGCATTTCAATATGGCTGTGAAGTCTGCAGTCACTCACTTTACTAGGAGCACTATTATAACTCTTAATTATGCATATAGCATGGAATTTAGAATTTCATTGTAGGACTCATTATAAACTAATAACTGGTGCTACTGGACAATACTGAGAAAGCTCAATGAACAACTAGCACAACACTACTCAAAGAACTAAAAAACAATTCAGATATGAAGCAGTTTATTCTCAGTTTCCAACATGAAACAATATTCAGAATTACTGGGCTTTGTATTTTGTCCAACAGTCGATATTCTAAACAACTAGAAAACACAATGCTTCTGAAACTGGATTTACTTCCATCTTCAGGTGTTTTCTAGGTTTTTGGAATTCTGGATGATAGACAAAGTCCAAAAACCCAGTAATTCTGCATGTTATACATCATCATCAGAACCATTTAGAATCTATATGAAGCAATATACTAAAATATTCTGAAATTATGAAGTGAGGAGAATCAAAGTTATTAAAATGATGCACATGAAATCACCAACACTGTCCATAAGGGTGTACCATAATCTTACACAGATAGGGTTAAACTTATATATTTGAGGTTTATAAGTTAGGTCACATTTCTTCTTCATTCTGGAGAAAAGAGGCTCTGTGGTAGAGGATCTTTCTTGAACAGTCAACAGTAACTAATGCGTTGAAGAAATTCATTACTGTCACAAAACCCAATAGCTAGTTGGAATGTGCTAAATTTATCAGGAGTGGAGCAATGATCAAGATGCATGATGAAGTGCTGTGGCTTTGCTCAACATTGATGCAAAACATTTGTGCAAACATTATCAAGTGATTTTTAAGAATAGCAAATTTCATTTTAGCACTGAATTTACACCTCCACAAAAAAAAAATCATCGGAACACTTGGATAATGCTGATAAAACTGTCATGTACTTTGATATGTCAATTAACAGAACGGTAGAAAAGCTCCACAGTCTGCTATCAGTTAGTGCCTGGATACAAGTAGAACTACTGCAAATACCATGCTTACACAAAACTGCATGTCAATATATATAACTACTTGTATGACAGATTTTAGTTATTGCAAATTCTTATTTCTTAGTATTTACTTATTTTATTCTTGTTAAATCTGGCAACTACTTTTCCCAGTTCTACAATACCTTACATTTGATTTTGTCCTTCCAAAATAATGAACATTACTGGAGCAAGCGAATACTAAACTTATGGTTAAATCCATTGCTTAACTTTCTGACTATGGTATTTTACTTGTCACCATTCACGACAACTTCCACTTACAGAAATAGTGTAAAATATAATCAGTGACTCTGCAGGCATTGCCCCCCCCCAAAAAAACTTGACATGTCCTGGAGCATAAAATATGGTACAGCCTTACTAAGGACATCAGCAAAATACTTGAAAATGCATTTTTCTCTCCTCTACAATAATACACCACTCTACATCTCGCTTTTTTCCTTAACCACAACATGCAATATTTCATATAAAAATTTATAATCAACACAAGTGTTATTGAACTTACCTGAAACAGCAAACATGAAGAATGTGGTCTCAATAAATATTATATAAGAAACATAAAAGTGACTACAATCAGATTACTTGCATGAACAGTTCTGGTGCTAATAACAGACTGCATTTACCTCTGATTGGAGTTCGCTTTGTTGGGGCCCCCATGACATGTGGAACCTCCAGGTCTGCCTGCACTTTATGCCATGGCATATCAACCAGCTTCCTCTCCTGCATAACAATGGAGGTAAAATTGCAATGTTCTTCAGAAATCAGAGTGAGATTTCATAGAATCTGTAGTCATTAAAAATTAACAACTGCCAACATACAAAGAAAACTGAAGACAGTTTGTTACGTTCATGCAATAAAAATTACTGAATAGCAGCACTACTGGACCTTTTCACATTCTTGCAGGATCTTCATTCTTTCTTCTTATATTCATATAAGATTAGTCCCTTAAATGAATCTGACACACCATTTCTATGTTCAAGTGGCCTGGAAAAGATATCTGGAAAAATTACAAGTATGACAAGTTCCATTTTTGGGAGTTTTTACCGAAAACTACTTGGCCAAGATGCTTCAAATACTGCATATTATTATCTTTATAACAGAAGAGGAAATTTTAAGCTTCTTTACTGACTGCAATGCTTTCATGACAACTGGGAACCAGTATGCAAACTATAGAGAGGCAATATTTTTACAGTTTTGGTAAACAAAGCAGACACATGCTTTATTTTAAAAACAATCAGAGTTCATGAGGATGAAATTAGTGAGAAGTTACTCTAGCTGTTAGATAGATGTTTCAGTGTTTTCTTGTTATTCTTGGATTTTAAAAATTTATTTTTAGATATATAAATCTCACAATAACCATTTCTAATATGCAAGTCCCAATTAAAACATACGTACTTCTTGGATGAACAGTGAAAAGCTCTCCTAACCAACATTATCATCTTTACAAAGACAACACCTCCAGATCTGAACTTAACACGTATATCCTTACTCAAAAATGGAAATCATCAACTTTTATTCAGTTAGATTATTTTCTTATAGCAGTGCATGATACAAAAGCTGATTTCTACAGCAAATGTTTACTAACTATAATTCTGCATATTTCCTACAGTTATGCCATTACACTAAATATAAAATTAAATCACATAAAAGAAGGCATTTTTATTATAATGAGAGACTCGTAGACAGCTTCGACTTTCCTTCACAACTTTTTGCATGCCGCATATTTACTTCCCTAACTATTTACAGCTGGTGATCCATAAAGGTAGGATTAAACCACACTCTGCACATTTCTGTTGTTTGGGACAGAAAAGACTACAATCCCAAATATGAGAACTGTATGCCTGAACAGGGTTTTTATGCAACCCTGAGACAGGATGCTAAGCATGTGGAGCTCTTCTGATTTGTAACTGAGAAACTTTACCTCACAGCTGCAAGTACAAGAGATTATGGAAGCATGAGAAAATCTTCAGCTCTTACATTCGAATAATACTACAGACGTTGAAATGTTGTATTATTCTTCTTTACTTTCATGTCTCTTTGAAAACTTTATTATTTCCTGCAGACAGCACAAAATTAATTTTTTTCCCTTACCTTGAAAACGGTACAACTTGTGGGAAAGAGTTTCATTTCTTTGTACAACTTTTGTTCAAAACAATTTTTCTTCTCATAAATGTTAAGAAGTCCGTGCAGTTTTTGTGAGAGATACAAGCAGAACTGATTTGATTTGTCTCATTTTGGTCCGTCACACTACTAATTACAGAGTGGATAATTTTCAGTCCAGTGTGACATGCAAGTTTACAACACTTCAGTCTTTTTCACCTTACATGTTTCGATTCAAAAGAATCCAAAACCGACCGTGACAGTAACAAAATTTATACAGTGAGCATTATTCATAGCTTGAGTGCATATGGTTAAAACATCTTATGTGACAGTGTTTCCTGATCATAGTGGTGCACCTCTGAGGATGATTCTTTTGAATCGAAACATGTAAGGTGAAAAAGACTGAAGTGTTGTAAACTTGTATGTCACACCGGACTGAAAATTATCCACTCTGTAAGCAGAACTCCATTATGACAATGCATTTTAATACTATCAGATTTCAATCAACCTGAAATATGCTGAATCATTATAGTGAAACTACCCAGTATCAAATTTAATGAAAATCCATTTAGTAGCTCTCAATTTATTGCACATGAACATATGGATGAATAGAATATGGGAATTTTTCAGGTTTTTGTTCCGAATGCCCCAAAAAGAATAAATACTGTGATGTTTTGATTATTTTTTTAAAATCTTGGTGCCGTACAGTAATATATGTAATTAGAAATAAGGTTTCAGATTATGTTTGCCAACCATTTTTGGATATTACATATACTTGTTATAATGTGCTTTTTAACAAATTTGATATATTCTCATTACAATGAGGATGCACCATAGGTTTGAACCCTTTTCCCATTTCTCCAGCAGCAAGAGCTCTCTACATTTGTGTCCAATTCCAGTAACTGGATCTAGGTAGATACTGCAAACTGCTGTCAAGACATAACTCTGCATAACAGAGTTTTTCTTTTGACATCAGGTCATATATTCCTAAGCAATAAAACTGAAGTGGTGACAGCCTAGTTAGTCCTCTTGCATGTTGTGTTCTTAAAAAAGCAGGTACAGATTCCACATTCACTTGCTCTCTTAGCTGAATGTCATATACCAATAATTCATTTCATTCTATCAGTTCATAATTTCACACACTATCATTAGAATCTATTAAATCTTCACTTGCATTCCATTCAGACTCAGTCATGACTAGGGCCCGGATCATGTGCCAAAACACTTAAAATATGCGCTGAAAAGCGGGAAAATATGCACCAAAAATAAAACAATATGCACTTAAGGAACAGGTCGCTTTATTCAGACTCACCTATTTACATGCATCATTCACTGTAGAAAGTAGCATCACAAGAAGCAACTAGAAGTCTTTCAGTGTTTTCTGGAGACAAACTGCATCTATTATCCATCAAAATGAGTTTATAGGCTGAGAATGATCTTTCTACATCAACTGATGTGATTGGACAGTATTTATACACTGGCGCCAAAGGTTCGGAACATTCATCTGGCAAAGATACCCTAATTTCACTCAAGTACTGACTAATTGACTGAATCTTTTTTAGTCCTGGGTTCAAATTCAGCATCTTTTCTAACTTGAATTTAATCTTCTCTCCAGGTTCACCTGGAGCAGAATTCAGTGAACAAGTTGCTTTCTGAACGAGTTCAAGTGAGTCGTGGAGCGCACCACAAGATTCTAAGCTCTCAATGGCTTTTGAAACTGTAGAAAAATGTGCATGGACAAAATTCACATCTTGATAAACAGTATCACTTCCAAACACCACTTTTGCTTCATGGACACATGCATACTCATCTTCAAGTTTTGTAACCACTTCTTTTACTTGATTGAAATTCTCCTGATAAAATGAAACTGCGGATATCCATGTCCCCCACTTAGTTAGGACAGGTTCAGGTGGCACAGGAACCTGAGGTAAGCAATCTCTGTAGAACTGGACACGAGCTAGTGCTTTCAGAAACAGTTTTATTCCACTTGCAATTAAATCGTTAACAGCTGGAAACTGTGCGCGTATTTTTTTCTGCAATACTGTGTAATCTGTGCACTAAACAGGTTACGTGTATAAGGTTTGGATAAATACTTGTAAGGCCTTTGCTGCTTTCAACATATAGGAAGCTGCATCTGTGAGTAATACAAGCACCTTACAACAATTATTCTCAATTTCAGATGGCCATAATAGTTGCAGAGAATCATTTTCAAATCTTGCTATTGTGCTATGGTTGGTTTTCTCTAGTACTTTGCAAGCAAGAAGATGAGGGTTGCTGGGTTCGTCTGGATGTAGCTTACCAACTACAAAATTTGTTATGTATCCGCCACATAAATCGGTTGTCTCATCCACCGATATCCAGACACAGTTCCCTCCGATGTCAGAATGGATTGACTCCAGAGTAGATGCATACAGCAAAGGTAGATATTTTTTTCTAAGAGTTGATTCATCTGGGATTTTTTTATGTATCCAGAAATGATCGCAGAACTGGGTTGCTTAATTTATTCCATGGAATTTTGCTGCATACTAAAGCCTTACAAAGATCGGCTGAAAATGTATTAACAGAGGACTTGGGTTTGACCTGTGTAAGCGGTAGTTGTGGGTGCTGTTCTTCTTCCCCTTCTCTGTTGTAATATGTGCAGTGGTTGAGTGATGTTCAAACTGAAATTTCTTTTCACATTTTACTTCCTTTGCACAAACTTGACAGTACACAATGACACCATCTGTTGAATAGTCACTATTACCTGACACCCACCGAATTTTTAAAAATCTGCTGTTGCATTTTTCTTTACGCATTTTCAGTACACGAACACTTTTCTGATGGAGACTATTAAAGTAAATAGTTACACATTAACTGAAGAGACTTCTCTCGAGACCAACCCTCTGATGCTACTGTCTGCTGTTGTGGTCAATGGAATGAAGGAAAATCCCACCCCTTCCCTTTCGAAATAGCCAAGCTACCTGCTTGTATTGTAAATGGTAAAAGTGCCGTTACTCAGAGAGTTGAGAATAGCAACTGGCAAGGGATGTCTAAAACACAGGCAAAACCGATTTTGTTAGAGAATATGGAAATTATCCTTAATTTCAAACATATATGCAGAAATATGCTATTACATTTAGAATATGCAATAATGACCAAAAACCATCAAAATATGCATTTGCATATGCGCATATGCATTTTCAAAAAATCCGGGCCCTAGTCATGACACAGTATTTCAGCAATTCTGTCCATTTCATTTTCCTTCTACAACTCATTATGAGGGCTACAATTAAAGAAATCACCAAAATTTCTAACACACGAATCCATTACTCCAGGTAACATTTACGAAGACTCAGTAATATAATCTTAGAGCTCATTATAATGAAAATTTCTAAATCAGTTAGAAATCATGCCCAACACATGAAACTTTAAACAGCATGGCATCTATGTTAATGTTAATATACAACTCTAAATCATACACACTTGATGGCAGCGATATGCAATCCAATAAGAATTTGTTTTACAGCTAACAAAGTAAAGCTGAATTACACATTCAATGATGTGGACTAAGCCGAATTTCATCCATATAATAAAGCAGACAGTTGAATGTTACAGAAATATACTTCAGGTATTATTTCATGATTTTCCTCAAGGAATTGAGGAATTGAGGGGTGGGGGGACCCTGGACAGAGCTCAAAACCTTCAGGCTGCTAATCATGCAACTGTGACCCTGAATCTGTCACAGACCAAAGTACATGCCACTAATAACTACTTACAGCATCCATATCCATAATATAAAACTCCTTCATTACAAAATAACCAGAACTGATATTAAAGAAAAGTATAAAGACAGACTAAAAGGTAAGAGTTACCAGCGTTTGCTCTTTGTGTTCAGCACTATGAAGATGGTTGAGGAATTCTTTAGCGGTGCGAGGGAACACATCACACACACGACACCAGTGCATCTCTGGGTCATAATGTATGTAGTTGTAGACAGGTTTACCATCGTGTGCATGCTTCTTATCATCCCGAGATGAAGATACAGAATCCACTTTATCAGCCCTTTTCTGACCATCTTCCAATTCAGAATCTGAAGATGATGATGACTGCGGTGGAGTTTCAGGTGGAGTCTGAGGTTTCTTCTGTAAGAACAAAACAAGTTACAACACATTTACTTGCATTTAATCATACCAACAAACAAACTTCTGAGACCTGAATTCTTTATTTCAGTTTATATAAACACAAATTACAGAGTATGTTAAGAATGTTACACAATAAGTCCACCAGTACAATTGAAGACTTCTAGAAAACTCCAGTCAATTTTCACCTGGTTTCTCCCAACCTGGTATGAATGAAGAAAATTATATTGGTTCATATGATGGGCTGAAATAATAAAAGAAATTTCCACACAATCAAATGACAAATACCACTGGATAATACTCTTAAAACTACATTTTGAAATGTTAAATATTGTGGCATGTAGACCCATTGCTAGGGAACAACAGCAAAATAGGCAACAGACATTGTTAAGTAATGGCTCTGCAAGCAATGGCTGTAGCTAGGCAATGTCTGACTAGTGATCATGTGGGAACCCCAACTAACACGAACACAACAATGGTACAGCAACAGAGGAATGGTGTTATCTGTGTGGTGCATGTTGATATGTTATAAGCAAGGATGAGTTAGTGGGCCAGTGAGAGTTGGTTGGTTGGTGGGTGAGTTAATGAATCAATTACAGGACTGCTAGGAGTCAGTGGTTGTGAGCTGTTGCTGTGAGAAGCTGGTAGCTGAGGCCGGGGACAGTTTCAGAACCCAGAGGAAGTGGAATGTCCACTGTTGAAAGCTGCTACTAAGCAACGGTAGTGAAGACTGACTGTGGACATGGGTATGCACGTGTGTGTAACAATGAACTGTAAATTATAGTCACATGTTGCATCAAAGAGTCGAATAAATCCAATTACCAATCCAACCCCATCTATGGTCACTCTTACACTTGAAAACTGGTGTCAGAAGTGGGACTGGATTGAAGACTGCAGTGGTTGGTTGTATCATCAGCTTACAAAAATGGAGCAAATGATGGAACTGATGTTGGCCAAGAAGGATTCCTTTCAAGAAAAGATTGGGGTCAAGCAGGAAAAGATTAAATCCAGTCAAGAAGAAATAAAAAGTCAAATTGGTGCTTGTCTTCTGAATGGATATCCACCAAGCCAAGATAGAAGCTAACCATGAGGAGTTGATGGTGATAATGCAAGCCAGCCAAGAAATGACAGAGGTCATGATGGAGGCCTGTCTACAAAAGGCGAAGGCCAACCCAGAGAAGACTAAGGCTGGCCTGGAAGAAATGGAGGCCATGGTGGCTGACTTTGAAGAAAGGTTGGACAAAATTGATACCACAGATTTGGAGGCAAATACAAAAGAGACGGAGGCCACAGTGAAGTGGCAAGAGATCCTTAATGAAGAGGTCGTAGTAGAAAATATTGCAGCACTCAAGGAATGATATGGGGACTGGTGTCTGGTTATAAGGTGCCTTCAATGGCTGAAGAAATGGACCCAGGGTAATGGTGGGTCCTGGAAGAAGCTGGCTGCCACCCACAGACAGATGACCTGGCATACCATGATCAGGTAGTGACAATATTGCAAAGCGAGCCCCTAAAGGGCGTATGCTTGAGAGGAGATGATGACACACCAGGAATGCAGCAATGGAATAAGGAGACATCTAGCAGGCTCTTCAGAAAGACAGTGGAGCTGGAGCTCAAGAAGTGAATATTTGGGTTGAAGAGTGTCAGTGACCGGACATGATGTAGGGGTTGGCCCCTCCAAAATGAAAGAAGGGACGTCAAAATCACAGCTCTAGGAAAAGAAAGATGATGATGGTACACCTGGACTACCTTGTATTTTATCAGGGAACAGCTCAGGACGAGCAGCCTTAAAAAGGGGGCTGCGAAAGCAATTGAAGAATAATCACTGTAAGAACCAAGCCACAGGAAAGGAAGGTGAGGCTGATCACAGACGTCACAGGCACAGTCCTTGGAAAAGAAGAAATGGCAGTATACCTGTAGGTGATACAGAACAAATAACCTTAAGGGGTGATCAATATGCCATGCAGCCACAATATTTAACATACTGTGCACTGTCAATATATAAAATATATACTATACTTATATCTAATATATACTATAATTCTTCATGCTGTGGGGAGGAGGGAAGGGAGCAAAGTTAATACAATGAGAATGCTCAATTTACATTGCATATGATCCTCACCTTCTCTGTTTTTGGTTCATCTCTGTGACTTCCTTTTCCCATATATTTTTCTTCCTTGTCTCCAATAATACCAGTCAACATGTCTATCACATTGTTGATTGCTTTCAGCTTATTCTGAATTTCCAGCTATAAGAACATCACAAAAATAAAACTCTCACTACTCCATAACAAAAAGGACTTTAAGAGGATGATTTATACCCAGCTTATGATATAAATTGATAAGCATTATGTTTGTTATGTAAGATAAAATTATTTCACTTACATTGCACGAGGCTAATGATACTGCCTTACTTATTGTGGCATTGAGGAGTATGTTTTGAAGGAATTACAGAAGTCTGACTGCAAAGCTGTTAAATACACAGGTAATGTTAAAATAAAAGTAAACATAATCTGTGTCTAAGAATTTCACTGTGAAAGTATACAAGAACAAAAGGAAATGTGTAAAAATTGCTAAGGAAAATACTTGGAGCTAAGATGAAGTGGGATTTATGGTTTATACAGGGCACCTAAATGTCTCAATAAAGTGAAATCCTAAAGAGGCTACAATGGGCTAGCAAAGAAGAGAAACAAAGAATGCATACACATATATGGCACATAATCCTGTTGGAAAAGAGCAACTTGGAAGATGACAAAAGAGTGGGAGGGAGGTATAGTGGTGGGTAGGTATTGATTTTGTCATGGAAATTGAAACTGCCTAAGCTGAAAAGCAGGACTGCATCCAACAACCTAGGTTCTAACATGTTGAAATAAGACTGATTATGTGTTATGTCACAACTGTTTCCTTTACAATACAACTGTTTTGATCCACCAAAAAATAACATCATTTTGTCCAAAGACGAGAGGAATATGAACACAATAAACATGTGATTTCGTGGCAACATCTTGCTTTTCAAGTGTTCATATAAATGTATATAACTTACCAAAACAAAGTTGTAACAAGGTAAATATGTAACATGGATAAGGGGGAATGAAATTTTAAGAACATATGTACATAAAACCTGTGTGAGTGGAAATCAGAAATGTGACTTACTGAGCAAGGTTTCTTTTACCTCATCTTTCAAGCCCTTAGATCTGTGTCCTCTGTACTTTCCACCCTTAACCACTGTATTTTACTGCTACTTCTCCACCCATATTTTTTCATCTTTAAGCAAGTTTTTGTCAATTTTGGGAAAGACAATAACACCCTTCTCAAATCACACAGTGTATTTATTCAGCAACCCGTGGGTTAACCAAACAATGCAAACAACATAGAGTCATGTAAGATTTTAGGTTTTCACGGCGGTNAGAGATGTGCAACAAAATAAAACCAATAAACTCTCTGTATGCAGCATGTCTTAAACGACTGGCTTGTACTGAGTCCTAGTGACAAACATGACATAATTACACATATTTTTGGTTCCTATTCAGGATCATCTCCATTGTAAGGGCAAAAATGCCCTGAACCATCATACTTCAAAATACTAATATACTTAATGTTCGGGAAGTAGGTAAGTAGTAACCTGGCATGTTAACTTTTATTCTTTCAGATTTAGATATTCCAAAAATTACATAAGTCATTATTCAGCATCACTTTAAAAACTGTCCTTTTCACAAATTGTACCAAGGTACTGGAAACCCCTACAATAATAACATGAAGTAACAGAAATAATATTCTCTTCTACATGAAACTGAGAACACTAGTTTACCAGCCACCATTTTACTGTCGTGTCTTAAAACTGAGAACATACCTCTCAAACACCAATTACCATAAAAACATCATTTGAACTGAATCATCACTATTTTCATTGTCCTCTCTTTCACCACAAGAAGTGTAATTTACTCCTACATTTTGAAACACAGCTATCAACTTTGTGGTTGGCTGCTCTCAGAAGTCCTTTCTTATGTGACAGATCTGAGAGAAGTACATGTTAGCTAAGTGGTTCATGACAGTACAAATGAATTTTTACAACTGTTTGTCTCATGAGGAAGACTATGTTTTCTAGAACTCTGGTTTATCTACTACTTGGATAATTTGAAGATATTAAATTGTCCAGATCAGTTTATCAAATAACAGAGTCTGAGTAAGTGCATACTTCAAACAAAATATCTTGATTCCAGAGTCTATAAAACATGCCCATGTAATCTTGGGTAAATATTCTACAAAAAATTTTGAGGGCAATGGAGTGTACTGAATCAAAATTTACCTGGTAGTGGAATGTGGTGTTAGACTCCCAAAGTTCCAAGCAAATCATAATTTTTGGTATGTCTTCAAAGAGTGAACTACAGTGATTTAATATACAATGTACATACCTGTAATTTGTTATTCTCCTTAAGGATACGATCATTATCTCTAGACTTTTCCTCTAGAAGTTCTTCCTCTTGATCCCTAAGAAGATCCAGTTCCCTTGCAATAAGTACTTTCTTTCGGACATATTCTTCTCTTTGTTTTGCAAGTGCTTGCTTCTGCTGTATTAGCTCATTCTTTATGGCTATACAAACAAAAAGATTAACTGATAATAACATAACACAAGACTGTAAAGGTATGCAATGTACACTTAACTGCTGCTCTCAGCAGAAGGAATTATAAACTGAATGTTAACATCAATGAACTACAAACTACTTATAAAAACAGAAAAGTAGCTAATTTTGGAAAGTAAAGTGATTTTCTGTAATTTTGGAGGTGCTATATTTTAGATGTTTCAGGAACAAGACATGCTATTAAACACACAGTAAGGAAGAACACAATGCACGAACTCCAACATACAAGCACATCGAAGGGACCTGCATATATATTAGTAACAGAAGAGAGCAACTCCCTCATCAAGAAGATTTTAACACCTGATGATGGCCATATTGGAAGAAACATGTTGTGTACCTTTAAAGTTAACAAGTTTTGTGGGACATGGTGTTGCACATAAGATTGTGAATAATAGACACTAGGTGAAAAGTGCAACAGGATGCTACAGTACAATATTGTTGAGGTAGATCTTATTCTCTTTAATGCAGTAAAGCATTTTCATACAAAACTGTTCTCTACAATCCAAACTAGCACATGCTCTCTTCAAAATCACTGAAGCTAGTTAAGCATGATATTTTAGTCCATTGTGTAAAACATCATGCGCCATTATCCGATGTTTTGGCCATGCATACATAACTCAGTACATGAAAAAGGAACCCATATTACAAATGGGGTCTGACAAAATGATACTGAGACATGTATATGAAAAACCCTTCACAGTCAGATATCTTGACAGGACTGAATGGGAAGACAGGTTTCGGCCCGAGAGAAAAGTGGGAATGATCTGGTATTCAGATGGTTTCTAGATAAATATGGGCACTGGAGCTGGTGTGTACTGATATGGCATGAGGCAGAAACCCAGTTTCAGCCTCAGACAGTACACGACAGTATTCCAGGCAGAAGTATATTGCATTAATGCATTCATTATGGAGAATCTAGATAGGAACTACAGAAATAGGAACATCTACATTCTATCTGAGAGCCAAGCTGCACTTAAAGCGCTTGACAAACACCAGATCAACTCAAAATTGGTCTGGGATTGCCACCAAACTCTCATGGAACTGGCCAAACATAACAGGGTACAACTGATATGGGTGCCAGGGCTCGAGGGTATTGCTAGAAACGAAATAGCAGAAAATTGGCCAAGATTGGAGCTGAACATCTGTTCCTAGGACCTCAACCAGCCTGTGGCATCTCTATAGGAGTCGCCAGAAAGGCAATGAGGGACTGGACAAATATGAATCATAAGAAATACTGGGGATCCTTGACTGACTCAGGCAAGCAAAGGGGCTCATACGAGGACCCTCTACTAAAAGAGCGAAGGAACTGTTGAAGTTAAACAGGAACCAGCTATGATGGGTGGTAGGACTACTTGCAGGACACTCACCTCAAAGGACACCTCTTCAAACTGGGACTAAGTAGTAGTCCAACTTGTGAGAGGTGTCAAGGAGAAAATGAAACAGCCACACATATCCTGTGTGAATGTGAGGCTTTAACTTATTTATGATTGCATCACTTAGGTCAATATTTTATGGAACAAAATCCTACGCTTCATTCAAAGCACAGGATTGTTGAGGGGATAATCAGAAGGGGAGGCACAATAGATCACTGTGGTTGCGGTGCAAGGGCCAAGAAGGCCAATCCCTTATACATTCATTCATTCATTCAGAACACCTTAGTTACTGATTACAGCTTCCTGTAATTCTGTCACCTACTGGCCATGCAGAAGCCAAGGTCAGTAAGACTACAGGCCATCATCATAACAGCGGAACATTACTGTGATTCTATGCAAGATCTACATTTTGTGATATAAAGAACATCCAGGTCAATCATGATTGTCACTTTAACATTGCTCATCCCTTGAACAAAGCAGCAGCTCTGTATTTCCTACTAAGTATGGTACACTTAAACATGTCGAAGTACGGTCAATTTTATTGCAAGTACATATAAATTTATATACATGCATGAAAACAAAAAGGAGAATGGGCACCCTTTTGAAATATAGAATGCAAACTATCAGTATTTCCAAGACTATGTAGTTTAAATTCCACATTCTGGAATGAACAAAAAAAAAATCACGGCATATAGACCTGTTGCTAGGCAAGGACAATGAAAAGACCTAACAAATGCCACTTCTAGGCAACAGCTTCAAACATAAGCAACAGTACTGGAGACATTGCTAGGCAGTGGTCTGTGTGCAACAATGCAATTACTGTTGGAAGTGGTGTTTTTTTATGGGTCCACTCCAAGGCTATATCATTACCCCAACCAAGTTGAGGTAGTCAGTCAGTGCAGTGCAATGCAGTGGAGCAAGTGCGGTGGAGCGATGTGAGTGGTTGGTGTGTGACAGTCACCAACTGATAAGGATGTGAGCTAGGAATCAGAGGATATTGTTGGTATCCCTCACCAGGCAAAATGTGGTGAAGACACAGCAGACTGAGAAGACTTAGCATTTGCTGCAGTGAACTGCAAAATGTGTGAATTAGTGATATTGCTACAGTCACTTGTAATTATGAGGTGTTTGCATAAATGTTCAATAAATCCAAACCCTAATACATCATTGAAGGTCACAGTGCAAGGGCCGGATTTTATGGCCCACCCCTTACACAAATATATACATACACAATCAAAACCCTATCAACAGTCAGTCTATCACTTGATAATATATATAATATTCTATGTAATATGTGTAACAATTTGCTAATGTATAAAATACAGTGATAACTTTGTATGAAGCATAATGCAAAAAATATTCAAATTTAAAAAAAAGAAATAACCCAGCACAGTTATTCAAACAAACTATATAGCAAGAAGTACTCAGAGGCCTACAGGAAAAGGATTCAGGATATTAACCCTGCACTGATTAATCTGAAATCAGAGTACTGCAATTTCCAATCAGTCAGCAAAAACAAGAATCTTGTAACAAACATTCTTTAAAACAGTATACTGTAGTAATAAAATCTTACAAGATTTGTGGTAAGACTCTCCAATGTGAAAATGTATGTAGTAAGATAACTTATTTCACTAAGAAAAGCCACTAAGAAATCATCCCTAACTCACCCTCTTTCTTAGCTTCTTCTGACTTCTGGTCCACAGTGCACTGGCCACTCGTAGCAGCATTGGCACCTCCAGAGGAAGGGGTAACCGTTCCAACTGAACCTGTGTTTGGGAGATCAAGTTATTACATTTGCTATATTAATTATTAATCAATTTAAAACATGTTTTCATAAATGAAAACTATTTCTAAAAATAAGTATCAAAATAAAGACAAATTGGAATGATCAGCACATAATCCATAGCAACAAAACATTCGATGCTTACCAAATTCAACCAAATACATTACCAAGTCTTCAAGTCAAAGCAACTGGAATTTTAAGAATACTCGTGTTAAATCACTCAATTCCTCAGGCACGCTTATTAAAGCAACAGCTTTAGTGTACTTCAGTTAGTAAAATTAACTTCATATTCTCTAAAAAATTTCAAGTCATACCAGATGCAGAAGGCAGTTGCAAGGGTGGAGGCTGGCTCATATCTGGATACACCATCCCCCCTTCTGGCCAAATTGGAGGCTGGGGAGTGGGGGGAACAAACTCCTGTAACATACCAATCCCAGTGACATTAAGACATAAAATGGCACTACCTATCATATAATTCATATTTAATTTATATGTCAATTAGAATAAAAATATAACCAAAGGAAACTTACCTTCTTAAGCAGAGCCAAGAGCCCAGTGTGCTGCCAGCATAAAAGTATGTGTAAAACTTGCACGTAGCCCTATTTCCACGCATAATTTTGGTACATATCCCAATTTCAATCATGACTTTATCTTGCTTTTGAAGCCTGCATTCAGCAACAACATAAGAAGATTCGCTACAGAACACAGCAGACCAATTCAAACATGGGAGTTTGCATCACTGCAGTTATTGTATTAGTCTACCATTTTCCACTCATTATATAAATCACTTACAAATGATGAGCCGCAACACACGTTAAAAAATCAGAATGAAGTTGTTCCACAAATCTTATCTACCTTTAGGACTTGTCCTTATACCCTTCTTAATTATACATGTACTCATGCATTTTGTACTGCCATACTTAACTCTGCAAATAACATGCAGACAACAAAAGGAAATAAAAAAGTGAAACACTGACAGTTAAAACATGACTACAATTTACTCCCTTGAGTGAACTTAGTGCCATGTATTGTGGGCTGTACCAACAGGATAAGCATAAAGTCCCACAGTGCAGTTCATTTCCACAATTCATGCTTCTAGTTAGTGTCACTTCAAGGAATACCTACAGTTCGCTCAGAATTTACAGCATGTTTCTGTTAACACCAGGAGAACCAACCACTGATAGACTGCATACCTGTGCGATTTGAGGTTCTCATGGTAGTGACAATGAAGACTACTGCCCCTGGAATGTGATGCTGTATGCTTCAGTACATAGGTAATAATGTTTCAAGGGAACCTGCTACTTATATCTTTAGGTTAGCAGATGGGGACAGCAGGTTCCTCTAAAATGTCGGTACCTATCTACCAAACTACATGGCATTACATCGCAGAAGATGGCAATCTTTGAAATATATATTTGGTTGCACTCTGCAGTGCCATACAAATAAAATCCACTCATAATTCCAGTTCTTTCTTGTCGTTTGTGTTCTTTGCAAAATGTTCACAAATTATGTGCATAATATGAAGCCAAACTTTACCAGCTGTCTTTCAAGTGGTTTGATGTATAAAATTGTGAAATTATATGAAACACAATTCTCATCACGATTTGTAAGAAAATATACTGGAGAAAAATATATTCCTCAACAACAAAGTTGTACTGCCATAGGTGAGCAATTATTAATGCTACTTTCTACCTGCAGTCCTATGTTTGCATGAGAAATGCATAGCAAAGCAAATTTAAGCCTCTGATTTCCATGAAAACAGACATCTGGCAACTGTGGTGTACCTCAGAACTTTCATACCAGTGCAAAGAGTATCATATTCATGTGAAAATACTTTATTATAAAAGCACAAGTCATTTTTCTGGAACTGTGTCCAACGATGCTTGAAGGAAAATATTCTCTACCACCATTCTTTGAAAATATTTCCTTATCTATACTCTATGGCACGCATGTCCAACGCGTCAATCGCGATCGACTGGTTGATCACGAGATGATTTTTGGTCAATCTCATACGCCTATAAGGAAATTATGGGTGAAAAGCATGTAAAGTCACTTGTAATATAATATGATTATATTCAGATTTTGAAGGGAAAGAAAATACGTATTAGTCATTCCTATTTTTCTGTACTTTCAATGTATGTTGCTTTTATAACAAACATCATGTGTTATGTTATTTTTACCAATATTTTTGCTTAAAGCGAGGTACGACGATAGGAGGGAGTGGTAGATCATTGGCAGTTTTGACAATAAAAAGTCGATCACAACCTGTTTGAAGCTGGACATGCCTGCTCTATGGATATATGAGTTTTGATATTGAACACAGCAGCCAGACACTAATAAGAATATGGTTGCACCATCAACTGATTTAAGGTGTGGTGTATATCATATAACAGCAAACTCCTGATTACCAACCATGTATGGAGAATAGGGTCTGTAGTTATACAAATCTGTCTGTTGCATAAAACAAGTCAGAACATGTTTTTGTTTTAATTCTTGCATGGAAGTCTTCTCAGACAACACAGTGGACTGATGGGTGAAAGAATTCAGATATACTGTAGTACAACCACAAATTCATCTAGCCTCTAATGTAATGGCACCTGCATCAGGGAGGATAATGGGTAGACCTGCTAGTGGCAGCTCTACTGTGTGGTGGGTGAACATACAAGCCCAACAACTTTGTTTCTGAAATAACTATACAAATGATAAGTTTCCTTAAAAATTTTTGTCTGTTGTATGAGATGTACCTGGAGATGTGCTCAAGTTACTGGGAGAAGGTGGTTTGAAAACACTGACAAAACTAATGAACACCATATATGAAAGTGGAGAGTGGCCCAAGGACTTTACAGAAGTTACAATGATTGCCTTAAAGAAAAAGACAAAAGCTACAAAATGCAGCGACCATCGCACAATAAGTCTTATTGCACATACAGCAAAGATAATAGCAAAGATACTTAAAAGAAGAATTGAAAGGAAAATAGAGGATGTACTTGGAGAAGATCAGTTTGGATTTAGAAGAGGAAAAGGAACCAGGGATGCAATTGGGATGATGAGAATTATAGCGGAACGAACTTTGGAGATAGATGAAGAACTGTGTGTTTGCTTCATAGACTGGCAGAAGGCATTTGACCGGGTAAACTGGACCAAATTAATGCAGATCCTGAAAGAAACAGGTATCGATTGGCATGAAAGAAGATTGATTAGCAAATTGTACATGGATCAGAAAGTTAGAGTACGACTGGACAGGGGGGAGACAGGAAGTGTGCAGATTGGAAGAGGAGTTCGACAAGGATGCTGTTTATCACCAATTCTGTTCAACTTGTACAGCGAATGCCTTACCAAGGAAGCTCTGGATGGGCTCGGTGACTTCAAAGTAGGAGGGCAAATTATTCAAACTGTGAAATATGCAGATGACCTTGTGTTAATGGCTAAGGAAGAAACTGTGCTACAGGGCATGATTGATAGACTAATTGAAATTGGAAGGTGCTATGGCATGGAAATGAATGTGGAGAAAACAAAAGTAATGAAAATTTCGAGACAACCAACCCCAGTCACAATAAAGATAGACCAAAAACAAGTGGAGAATGTGAAATGTTTTAAATATTTGGGTAGCTTGTTAACAGATGATGGAAGGTGTACTTGTGAAATTAAATCCAGGATTGCCATGGCAAAAGCTGCATTTAGCAAGAAGAAGAATCTTTTTACCAGCAAATTGGACTTAAATTTGAGGAAGAAACTAGTGAAATGCTACATTTGGAGCATAGCTCTGTATGGGGCTGAAACATGGACACTTAGGGCAGTAGATCAGAAACATCTGGAAAGTTTCGAAATGTGGTGTTGGAGAAGAATGGAGAAGATCAGTTGGACCGATTATGTGAGAAATGAAGAAGTGTTAATTAGAGTCAGTGAGCAGAGGAATATCCTACATGAAATAAGAAAACGGAAGGCTAATTGGATTGGTCATGTTTTACGCAGAAACTGCCTTCTAAAAGAAGCTATCGAAGGAAAGATAGATGGGCGGATAGAAGTGACAAGAAGACGAGGAAGAAGACGTAAGAAGATGCTGGATGACCTTGGGGACAGAAGAGGATACTGTCATTTGAAGGAGAAAGCTGTAGATCGCATTAAGTGGAGGAATTGTTTTGAAAGAGACTGTGGACCTGTCGTCTTGACAGATTACTGATGATGATGATGATGTATGAGAATTCTGGATAATGAGAATTCACAGTACTTCTAAAAGAGAACATTTATCAGAATTAGTGGGTTTTTGGACTCTGTCCATCATCCAGTATTCTAACTAGAAAACACAACATTTTGGAAACTGGATCTGTTTCCAACCTCAGGATGGGAGGGGGAGATGCCTATTCCGTTGGGTCCCCCAGAAAGAGCTCACCTCAATCACTGAACTAGTGATTCTAGTTTTCAGAATACCTGATTAACAAACTCCAAAAACCCAGTAATTCTGAGTGTTATACACCATCTTCAGAACCCTTTAGAATCTACAGGAACATTTATGTACAACTAGCAAAGTATCAGTTCTTGGATCATTTACTTTATATAAATTGAACTGAAATAACTGCTTATGTTTTTACATCAATCTTATAAATACATATGCTCGCTGGGGTGGGAGACAAAAATGTCCGTTTTTAATATAAACTATGCTGAAACATACATTTGCTTATTTATTATAAGCTTCTGAATATACAATCCTGCTGACAAGTGTTCTATTACTTGCCACTGTGGGACTGCACAGCTATCACTTTATGCAGTAAGACACCTATATTATTATTTTAAGAATTTCATATTTTAAAGCAGTTATCAAAACTGCACCTATCAATCAAATATTCAATAAATCAAATGATGCCATTATGGGACTTCTGTTTGTGTCCTTAGAACAGCTCACAATAGAAACAACCCTTATAGTGAAAAAAGGGCTGTATACTAATGGAGTTGACCTTGGTTGCTTATTAGACATAGATGATCAAGTCTAAGCAATCTGGCAAGCAGGAGTCATAATTTGTAACCTATTTCCAAGAAAAGCCATGTATTGTTGTCTTTAAAATTTTCTGGCACTCTTCCATGCCAGAACTAAGATTATATCCTTTATTTCAAAGATTAACCCACTAAAATGTGTGGATTTTAGAAAATTAAATTATAGTTTAGCTTGAACTGAAGCAGGAGAGACTGTACACAGAAGATGAATGTTTAACATCAGAGTGTGAAGTGGCAATTTATATAATAAATTCAAACTGGAAAAACTTCATATCTAATAACTCAGAAATAATGAATGTTTGTACTGGGGCAAATGCTGTCAATTTTATACTTTTGTACAAGTAAAATTAGGACACATCCGACTTCATTGTTTTCGCCACTTTTTTTAAACAAATTCTGTACTTATGGTACAGATATTTTTGGCTGTGGATGTCACATGCATCCAAAACAGGTACTACGCAGTTATTAAAAAAACAAATAAGTTTTTTTCAACTGTCATTTGTATGACAATCTTACAACTCAGAAATGTGCGACAGTAACATTTAAAAATAACTCTGAAGTAAACTAAGCCAAGTTTAAAAAGACTGGATATTTCAGAACCCTGTTTACAGGTAAATGGCCTAATTCCTAACAATCCAGTTGTTTCAAGTTTCCATTAGCTTTAAAAAAGTAACACATGCAATTTTTTGAAACTCTGCACTCTGGGGCATTTTAAGGCCATTTAAAAAGTTGGCCACCAACCTGTAGGCCAGGTATTAAATGTTGCATATGAATGGTTAAAACATGATGCAGGAAAGCACAGCAACGCAGAGGCTGCAATCAGAACATCTGATATGCCCCTCTATGATAGAGAATACAGTATGTAGGTCAGAAGGATTAAAAAAGACAAACAAGCTTTGTACTTACATTTACTGAAATAACTTTACCTCATATTTTCTTCACTTAGATATAGTGTGATAAGTTGTAACTATGAAGTTGACAGGTGTATATGAACACCCATAGCATCTATGGAAAGATACTTTACTGTGGGACTTACCCCTGAATAGGGAGGTAAGGGTGGTGGAGGCTGCTGGTAGTAATTGTCATAGCCATACTGCTGATAATTTGAATGGTAACCTGGTCCAGTTGGCCCTCCTATACTTGGGGATGGCCCTCCATATGATGCACCAGGCTGTGAAGAGCTACCATAGTTGCCCTGTACAGAGTATGTCACTTTCTGATTACTCTTACACATGCCCATTACACTGTTTAATAAAGACACAACAACTAAACAAATTTTCTCATACAGCATCTTCCTTACATATTCAAAAGTTATTCAACTGTTAAAGAAGTAAGTTAAAAAAGGTAAAGCTACGAGTATTCCTGTAACAGGCCGTGAAGGTCATAGGGTTGTGAGACGTTGAAGCTCCCACATTTTCTAGACAGCCAGCTCACAGATGACCATACGCGCTGGTCACTCTTTACCCCCAGAGAGATTCCTCGTACTCATTTCTGTTAGGGACTGAGTTGACCCCAGTGCCATAGTGCTGCTGGAAGGATTAAGTCAATTGAGAAATCCAATAACCTCATCAGGTATTGAACCCATGACCTTCTGGCTTGTACCATAGAGCCTCATCCGACTATGCGATCACATCCCCCCCCCACATTTGAGCAGTAAACATGAAAACAGGGGTCGAGACTTAGGAACACTATATAGTCCTACAGCATATATTTGATAGTAGTTCTGTCTTTATACGTAAGCAAACGCAGCTCCACAGGACTTCTGGCTGCCTTTGTTGGAGGGGTAAATTAGGATGAGGCTCCCATGGACTAATCCCCAACAGTTCTGTATCAAAGCCAGAGCAAATAAATGCTACCACCAGGTGGTAAAAGGACTTAACTTTTCAATACAATTAGATCTATTCTATTCTCCTAGTAAGACTTCTCACTACTGCACATGAAGATGTCAATTCTGTGTTGCATTTTTCTCAGTACATGCTCATATCATAAGTCAAGCAGCCCTGTCACACAACCAGTAAATTTTCAATCAAAACATTTACATTTCACATGAGTGTATTACTTGAAAATAAATATTCTTCTGTAAAACCTTTCATGGGTGTTAATCATCATATCCAAGAGAGATCTATTTTTCTAGCATGTCATAGTTCTTGTCTGGTTGATTCATACTGTTCATTGGTTCATGTACAAATCTCAGTGCATGAAGCAACAGGTTATATTTCAATGTGTTAGTATAAAATGGGATACAGAAATGTTCAAGAATTGACCTGTATAATCTCTGAATGTGTCCATGATGCCAAGTCCTGGCTCCATTATTGCAGCCCAAATCAAACATCTTCTGTACAATCATGTTTGTAAGTTGTGTCCATTGCCCTGTCAAATGTGTCTACTGCATGTACCCTTATTTATTTGTTTCTGCCACCAACAGCTGTCTCATTTCAATGAGGAATAGCTGAATGATGGCAATTGGTACAGACTCACTGCTGACATGGGGTACTGTTTGTATCCTCAGCCTGCTGAGCCTCCAATGAAAGAATGGATACCACCAGCATTCCATGGATATTCCAGTTTTTGCAAAATATTATCTGTTCCTGCTCACATCACTGTTATCATCCACTGTTACTATGTCTTCATCAAGCTCACTTTCACTGTTAGATGAGGGTGCTTTGTAAGAGTTGCTACTCAAAATAAAATCCTGCTCAACACTTTTAGTCCCAAAAACTGTGTCACTATGACCAAGAAAACTTACAGTCTGCTGAGAGTAATACTATATAAGCCTCCTGTGTTTGCCCAAAGAATATGATAATGTGGCAGTTCTGTGTCCTTAACAAGACTAGGCAGTGCCATGGTGGTCACATTTATCTCACTTGGAATGTCCACTCCACAGACATGAGAACATCTGTACTGCTTTCTGTAAATTTCCCAGTAGCATAATTATTCTACCATGACACTGTCTGATATCTCTGAATGTAGCCTCATAATAGTCCCACCCCCCACTCACACTACAAAAAANAAAAAAAGCACACAAGCAACTTTTTATTCCTGTCCATCACTTCTGCAGTGTGGAAGAAGTTTTTAATCAAGATCTTCCTCATCATTCGCTCCACTTCTCACATCCATCAATACCAGGGAAACTTTTTTTCTTTATTTCCATCTTCATTCTCACTCATTCAGTGCTGCTATCTCAGAACTGATCAGATGACAGACAGCTGTCAATGGCATACTGACACAGCAATCACATGACTAAAACTTGAGTCATACATGGTAATAATGACCATGTTAGGATCAATGTACGTGAATAACTTAAGCAGGAAGGCATACGAGAGGCTTGATAAAACAATGAAATAATTACACAGGCTGAACTACTATAGGCTGACTCTTAATAAGGAATATTCTAGTGACATGAGGAGATGCATGGCCAAATAGATTGTGGATGGGTGGATACAGTAATGGGGTAATGGGATGCAAGGGTGAAAAAGGTTAGATATACAATAGTGCAGAAAACAGACCTCACTGTACATATTTGGTGGAGGTGGAGCCATGACTTCATACGACTGTTGGGGAGGTTGTACATGTGGGTACTGGGGTTGGTGAGGCAACTGTCCAGTAGGTGAAGACTGCCTCCATGATTCATCTCTAGATGAGGTCAGTGAGCTCCGAAGAGGTGGTGAATAAGATGAGTGCCTGCCTCTTGGTGACATACTACGATCCCGCCTGTAACACAATGGAGAAGGGATTACTGTCATGCTCCTTTGCAACTTAGGCTACACCCTTTTCTTTTATATTAATATTTATTTTCTGCTAATGAACATTATCAGATGTTACACATGGTGAATAAAAATATTTCACCAAACTCTGTGATATTGTTACACAGTGGAACAATGCAAATAGTCTACATGAACATGTGTCCAAAACAGTCATGTTTCAGAGACATGACCCTTCCAAATTTGAGAACATTTAGGGGCAACAGTCTGGCTAGTACATCTTATGTTATTCAAAATGCATGAAGCACCTGATATGCTGTCTGCCTTGTCCATACAGAGCTCAGCATGGTGCCCCATGGACTGTTATAAACATTGTAAAGTCCCTGCCTTCCATCTTATTGCTTCACAGGCATTCTCCACAGGCTGCTGCAACTCTGCCACATTATGGACCGAGGTGGCATACACTATACAATTAAAGTAACCCCCTTCCCCAAGTCCACCAGACTGAGGGCTGGGGAGTGTGAGGGCTATGGAATGGGCCCACTTTGACCTATCCACTTTCAATAAATGACTTTACTTAGGTGTCATCAAACATGAACAAGGATATGTGCTGAAGCCTCATTATGCATGGACCACATGTGATTTTGTACTTGTAGAGGTACCTCTTTCTTGAGCTCTGGTACAACTTTACCAAAATAATAATTACAACATGCCACTCCCGTGAGTCTACTTGGCAAAAAAAAAAAAAACGGTCCTATTAGCAGATCCTCCATGATAGCTGCAGACACACTACTCAAAAACGAATGCTGATGTCTTCATTGCAGAATAGCGTGGGGCTTCCATCTGCCCACATGAATATTATAGCAGTTGGTAATAGTGTCTTGTGTAAATCATCCTTCACTGGTGAACAAAATGCTGGAAAGAGAAGGTGGATTGGTTGCACAGTTTTACAGAAGCCACTGGCTGAATAGTCAGCAGCAGTAAGGTCTTGAAGGATACAGTGGCTGCTCACATGACATTATGTGGCTGCGATCCTACTTGTACTAGCCCAAGGTTTCTCTTATAAATGATGCAACACCCTTTGCTCTAAATCAGGGAGTACACACTGATTGAGGCCTCCCTCAGCCCATTGTGGTTCAATACAAATGCTCCACTGTCTCTGGGACGAGACACTGATGAATCCTGCTGAACATACTCCTTTCTGGGATCCTGAAGCCCGAGAAGGTTCTTCATAAAGGTGATGTGCTTCTCTTGTACTGCCATCTGCCAAACCGATCATGAAATGCATGTCTGCCAATTTTTAATCTGTGTAATTATTTGTCATTGTCACCTGAACAACACAATCTGACAACACGCCGATCCACTAAAAGAATGCAAAACACTGACTGGCTGCTGCCTCTGCTAAAAATAAAACACACGCACTAACTCATGATTGCCTCTGAACAAGAAAAAGACAGTAAATTTGTAAACAATCAGAAAAAAGCAAATGGTATGCTAGACATGCTGCTGCACTCAATGTTCTAAAATTTATAAGGGACATAGCTTTGACATGTGAACATTTTAGATACATGTTCATACAGACTTTTCTTACTGTTTCAGTGTTTGGAAACATTCCAAAATGTTTGGGGAAAACTTTTTGTTCACCTTGTATATTTCCACGTGTCATAGTGATTAAGATGCTGGGTTCGGATCAGTAATTCGATTTATTAATAACCTACAGGACGTAACTACAATTACTTATTACACTACTGTTGCTTTACACAATTTACAATCACTCTACACTAATCTCATAAGTTTATCTGCACTAGTCTCCAAGGATTTATAATACAGGAACTACAACATTCCCACTGAATTACATACTCCAAATATTACACATAAATAAAGTCTTCTAATAATATGTTAAAAGTCTTCACAGGCCGACTTCTAATTCCTCTTCAACTACAAATTTCCCGTGGCCATCTACCGAGAACTGACTTGTTCGCATGCTTCTGCTGCTACTACTATTCATAACTTGAACTCATGACTGTCCTGAATGAATTCTGTCACTTACTTATATAGCTGCAGAACTGACATGGACCTACAGTAAACATATATCACGTGATTGCTATCTAGCCAGCCTACTGGCACGTTGGTCAAATCTACGGAAAATACAGCTTCCTCTAATGTTACGCACTGGGCTGTGTTTACAGAGATATTGCCTGGCAATGTGTTGATCAAATCTGTTACAATATAAATAGGGAAAATGAAGACATCAAAACAAAAATATGCGAAATGTACTTTCATACCTGTCAGATGAACTTCTCCTACGTCTCGGTGACAAGCTGCGGTCTCTTCGCGGGGATATGCTCCATTCTCTTGACAACCTCGACCTTTCACGTCTGTTACGTGGAGATGGACTCCAATCACGCCGACTGCTGCGCTCATGTCTATCTCTTGACTCACTTCTTCTGTCAAGTCTCCACTCCAAACTACGATCTCTCCTGCGAGGTGAAATGCTACCTCCACGGTCACGGCGGCTGTTACGTCGACGTGGTGACTGACTTCTTTCGAGGCGACTATGCAAAGGTGAAAGGCTTCTTTCATGATGAGACCTTCGGCCAGGACTACGATCTCGTTTTCTGTTCCCTGGTGATGGATGATCCCCAGATGAAGATGGTGGGGGTGGAGGGGAAGGGCTTCTGGGCCCTCTTCGATTGGTTTGTACCTCACCACTAGTTTTAAGATCAAGGCCTTCATTTGATTCATCTACACCAGGTGGAGCCAAAGCCGAGATTGGATTCTGTGAAGCAGAAACAACACTAGCTTTCTCAAACGATGTTTTATCAGAATTTTTATTTTCCCCTTCTCTTCTTTGTAACCCTGAAAGTTGGGCTGCAAGCCTTGGATCTTTTCTTGTTGGTCCAAATCGATTCTGTAACCCTTTCCGTCTCATAATGTCTACCTGTTGCTTTCCAATAGTTAATCGTGGATCACTCCTCAAGGATACTTTCTCTCCTTGTTGTACCAAGAGTTGGTCTTCATTCGTGGGTTCATAAGAGGTATCCGATTCTTCCTTATGCTGTGCCAAGACCTGCTGGGGCACAAGCCGTGGGTCCTTCCGTGCAGGAGCAGGTATACTGTCCGAGACTTCTGAACAAGACACATCAGGCTGCTTGGGCGCAAGTCTTGGGTCATTCCATGCTGGGCCAAATCGAGCATCTGAAGGATCAGATAGCTGCCTGCTAGCAAGTCTTGGGTCTTTCCTGTGAGGTACAAAGCTTGGACTTCTGTGATCCTCCCGTCCCAAACTGTCATTTCTCCTACTCCTCTCATCACGAGGATTGTGATGAGCATGTCCACTATCATGAGGATCTCTGGTCCAACAAGAATGACTGAGGCTCCCTCTTGATTGCTGGTGATGTGACTTGCTCTCAATGTCAAACATATCCTCCACCAATGGGCATTCTCTAAAATCTGAATCAACAGGAAGCACTGATTTTCCTGCTTTGAACTGTCTCTGAGTGCCTGGAGCTTTTGCTCCTCTTCTAAATTGACCCCTTTTGCTGAAACCAACAAGCCCTTGGACACCTCGGCTCCTATACGCGGATTTGCTTCCACTACCATCCTCCAGCATAAAGTCTTCAAAAGCACCTGACTCGTCATTTTCATCATCAAGATCCCAGTTGTCAATCACGTTCAGGTCATCCACATCAATATCAATGATATCAGCACTGTCAGACTGTACCTTACCAACCATACCTTGACTCATCCCACCTCGCTTTTGCCTGTTTTTGGACCTGCCATGGCCACGTGACATTACATTTCTCCCATTACCCATAGCAACTAAATCAATATATTTCTTCCCCCGACCAAAACTCGTTGTTCGATCAGGTTTCTCAGCTCCAACATCATCTAGGTACAGATCATCCTGCAAGTTCTCCAGCTGCTCTATCTCACGTGCAACTTCATCCAAATCTTCCATTTTCATTCTGTCAAATGAAAATAAGTTAAATACATTTTCAGAATAGTACAGCATTTGTATATAAAATAACATAAAATCATAAAAGGTGGTACAACAGAATTCCATTTATGTCTTATAAACAATTTTGGAAGTCATGTGGACTTACAATCAAAGGGCAAATGAGACCTGACTGGAGGTCAATTTATCATATGTAGATTTTCCACTTCAGGACTCTGGATAGGTCAGTCAATAGTGATGGGCTTACGGATTGCGAGGTCAAGGAGTCATTCCCAGCAGAGGCAAAATTCTTCTCTTCTCCATAGCATCAAGACTGGCTGTAGGGACTACCCAGCCTCCTATCCAATAGATACTGTTGACAATTTACCCAGGGGTACAGTAGCCAGAGCATGAAGCTGACTACTCACCTCAATCTAGTGCCAAGGCCACGAATTCCACTCCTCCATATGTCTTCATACCATAGGGCTTAATTAACTGAGCACTTGGACAAAATTTACCATTTCTTTCAACTTTCAAATTCACTGCTTCTATAAGTTTCTATGAACACTAGGCAATCTCTGGATCAAAAGCAATTCAAATAAATTTTGAGAAGTGAGGATTTCAGAATTTTTATCCTATGTGCACACATTCCAATGTGATGCTCATTCCCTCTTTTGTGGTTGATGTGTATGCATCTCCAATTTCTGTATTTTTCTTCTACGCTACTAAGAAAATAATTTCAATGATATGACAATAAACGTCTGAAAGATGTATTTAAATTCTGTTATGGGTAAAAACAACATTGGTGTAGTGCATTTGGTGAGGGGTATGTGTGCCAAGTTTGTGAGAAGGGCATGAAGTTTGTGGTATATTCATCTATATAAATAAAAATGTAAATGTTCATTTGTCCCTGATCGAAAATCTCCGAAAATTCTTCACCGATTGCTTTGAAATTTTGACACAACATTGCATTCGAATACGCGCGTTTTTTATGTACCTATTATATAGATGTCACACCTGTGACAGGTAAAAACAGGTAAAAACATGTCACATGTTCCGAATCCAGCAGTTGTTTCCATAGTAACGCTAGAACACACAGGATAAGAGGTTCCGTTGCATAACAACGGATGAAACCGGAAAGTATACTTCCATGGAAACACAATAACAGTGGGCTGTTGCATAGGAATTGCCGAAACAACAAACGCGTTTCCCCGGAAATGAGAAGATAAGAGGTTCCGCTGCGTAACAACGGATGAAGCCAAACACTTCTACAAGGTGTTCTGTCATCCATCGAATACCAACAGATCGTTGCCTAGGAATAACTGCGGCAATGAGCACAGAACATGAGCGAAAGTGTCCTCTATTGTGTCTGAAACCAGGTTATAACAGTCCAGCTCCGAAGAGTTTTTTGGTGATACTGGACGTGATAATAATTGTACTCGCTGGTGTAAAAGTGAGTGATCAATAACTTATTCGCTGAATCCAAGACGTACGTGGAAGTTATTTGTCGCACTGAATAGGAGACACGTGACCACAACAACGTTACATAGGTAACACACGACATATTCTTATCATCAAAGTACACGTAAATAATGCAACAATTTAAAAGACATCAAGAATATGTCAGTCACTAAAAATGTATTTTAAGACTTTATGATGTTAGAATCATGTGTGACAGGTTGGTTGGTTGTTAAAATATTAATTGTACTCAATATTAATATACTGTAACGTGTTATACGTCGTTCATTTCGTGAGTATGGTTTATTTTTCATTGTTTTTCATTTCGTTTTCTTAACTGTTCTCCTTATTTTTCAGTGCAATTGGCGGTGGGGGTGAGCTGTGTCAATTGATCTGCGTTTGAATTGAAATATTTCGTTAGTATTTTTTATTTTTCTTTGTTTCTTTGTTTTCCAGTTCGCGTTCTTTCCTTTTTTAATGTTTTGCAATTTTATATGTTTTTGTTATAACTTTCTTTCTTCTTCTTCAGTGCAATCGGCTTTAGTTCATCCAAATAATGCCTCGCAGAAGATCAAACTTAGGTTGTCGTACTCGCGGAGCGGAAGCAATTCACTCGATCTGGCACAGCAACGTGTGGCCGGGTACAGCTAGTATATGAATATGAATAAAAGATCTCATTGGAGGCATCATGAACAAATGGAGGAAGGTAATTACAGCATTTGTTAGTGTGTGGGAACATGGCTCTATACAGGAGGACTAATGTTTGGGAAGTCATCCTTTTGATATACTTCTGGGTGCACAAGATTACCCAGCCAATTGCTATAACAGTTACCATTGATTACCAGCATAATTTCTGTCAAATGTGTACTCAAATATTTGGACAACATATATGACGATATGTGGCACTAGACACACGGCTCAGATGAATCTCGAAGTTTGGGCACATTCCATGTGTGAAGGATTGATACTGAACCATGAAGGGGGGTGGTGGGGGGGAGCAGACCCAAGATTGCTTATTGAAATATTTTATTTTCATGTGTTACACAAGTATTTCTTACAACATACATCTTAAGTTATGTGTTTTCTGATTTGTATAAAAAGAGTATGACATATGTTCAACTATGTTTTTTGGTTACCCCAGTGTAGTTTGTTGGAATGGAAGTTTAGATGGTATGAGAAAGGAGCAAGGGAATGCAACTAAGATAGGGAAGGGGAAACATGCACTAGTGATATCCAAAGTCTGTTTGCAAGACTTACATGATCTATGAACATAGATCATTCCAATTATGCATGAAAGATGTTGCTAGTAGCTCATTTCAACCAATGAGAGCTTATATATTTGACATGAACCAATGAGAATGAATGTTTCACTAATTTGAAAGTGCTGTTGTAAGGCAAGTTTGGATTTTGATTTGATATCATTATGAAACTTGAGTTTCTATTCTGTTATAAGCAAGAAGCTACATCTGGATTTTAAACAGTGTTATACAGGGCTACTATATATGATTCATTCGTTTTTAAAATGTTATATTTTCTAAAGTAATATACGTACAAATATGATTGATATATAAAAAGAACCGTAAACTCAACAAGTTTGTATTGTGGGCACCAGTTCCCAGCACAAGTTCGGTGCCTTTACAAAATGGTGACAAAGCAAGAAAAGAGTTTTTGTTTGTTGGAATATGCGAGATGTTCGTCTGTTATAGCAGTGCAACGCGCATTCAGTTGTGGTTGTTTCCACAACTGGCTGCCGATTCCTGGGATTTTGTCTTCCAACAAGATGGGGCACCCCCTCATTGGAACATCAATGTTCGTCGCTACCTAAACAATGAACTTCGGCATCGCTGGATTGGGCGTGTTGGTGAGGATGACGTAGCTCTGTTCCCTTGGTCCCCCAGATCACCTGATCTAACGCCTTGTGACTTCTTCCTTTGGGGGTACATTAACTCTTTGACTGGCACGAAGGGTATTTAAATCCCACCCCTGTCCTGGCAGGCCCTTTAAACCTTATGTCGCTAAAATGCATGTAGTTACTTTTTCCTAAATAACTTCAACAAAAGTTGGTTTTTAAAAACGAAATTATCAGGAACTAATTAAAATACAATATTTTATGCAATAAATGCCTTTCCATACCTCTTTATTAGTTTTTCTTCGTGCGATAAACATTAAAACATGAAAGTTTGCAGAGAGCCACACCACAGCCTGCACACATGATACTTGTTTCTTTTCTAACCTTGTGCTTAGCACTCACGCGACACTTTCTCAGGGCACCATTCTTCTTATTGTTACTGTTAGGAACATGGACCATTTTGTGAATTTTCAAGCCACCCTCTAGACGATTTGCTGGCTCTTTCACTGGTGGTCTTTTCAAGGTCGAGGGCGGAGGCGTGACTGCACTCTAGTCTGACCCAATAGATTCGTCATCCACTTCATTCCTTGACTTTTCTCCCTCTCCACACTGTTTGTTTGGTTCAGTCATTTTTCTACACAGTCCAATATAAAATCTTTGAATCTGTAATTTCTCTTCTTGTATTTTTCGTTTGTTGTGTTCTTTTTGAATAGAATGAAACTATTCAACCGCAAAGACATGTTTTGTCCATACCATGGGTGTGAAATAGGGGCCTAGTGGACAAATATTCTTCAATTTCAGGGCGTTTGTCGATTCCTGTCATGAACACAATTCCTAAGTATGTCCAGATTTCATCTGATGTGACATAATTGTAATTGTGTTTTCGAGAGTGAGGAGCTAACTCATGTGTGTTGAAGTGCTGGTGAGCATAGCGATTGGTTTCAGTTGTGATGTGATTTACCAAGTCGTCATCCAGAAAAAATTTTAATCCATGAAAAGGGATGCATTTTATGTGTTATATCAATTTTGATCCCGAAACTATTAGCAAATGGAAATATTGGGGGTACAATGTCTCCGTACGTTCATGAGATGGGCGTGTCAGGCACTGTACACGTGGTACGTAAATGTTCATGATTACTGTCTTGTGGATCATTGTCTATCACTGTATTATTGTTACTATCAACTTCATCCAATTCAGGAATCATTATTTCATCGCCACTATCATCATCAGAACAAATCTCGTTCACAACATTTTCCAGCTGGTCTGTAGGAACACGAAGACACTTGCTGCAAGAAGCCATGGTGAAACTGAATGAATGTGAAATATTTTCTGACCTTTTCCTTCTCAGAGGGTTCTGACAGTAATATAGACCCCCACAAAGTTTACAAGGGTTCTTTACAAACATGCACAAAAACTATCATATATATGTCTTTGGTTGATGAGTGCCAAGAGAGCAAAGAAGGGAAGAGATTGTCAAAGCGTTAAAACACGCCAACGCCAGGGAACGGCTGGCATCGTCCGGGCGTTAAAACACGCCCGCGCCAGTCAAAGAGTTAAGGATAGTGTTTACGTACCCCCACTGCCAAGAACACTAGTAGAGCTGAGGGAATGCATCAATGTTGCAGTGATGACCATTGACAGGATGCTACAAAATGTGTGGAATGAGCTTGACTACCCCCTGGATGTGTGTCATGTGACCCAAGGGGCACACACAGAACATTTGTAGAGTGTGAAGAAAACTTGGTGAGTTTACAGTTCTTTTTATATATCAATCATTTTGTACGTGTATTACTTTGGAAAATATAGCGTTTTAAAAACGAATGAATCATTTATAGTAGCCCTGTATTATGTACATGACTGAATTGTAATTAGCTGCATGACTTTTGAGATATGCTTTGCCTATGGGTGCAATTCAACTCACAGGCATATGGAATTACAATTTTACAGGTTTTCTAAGGATCCAGCATGGTATATCTGTTGTGTAACGTATGTGTTTTTATTCATGATGTAATGGCTTCATTATTGTTGGGACATTTTGGTTCAATACTTCTATTAGTAATTTATGCACAATTAAAAATTGACATCCTTAAACCCAATATAATTTCTTTGACTCGTGCAGCTGCATCCATTTTAATAACTTTGTTGGCAATGTTTCAATCATATGTACTTATTGTGTAAGAGATCTTGATGTCATGTTTGATAATAAACTGAATTTTCATCATCACACTGACTACATAGAATCTCAATCATTAATGCTGGCAGGGATGAGTCATTTTGCAACATTTTTCTCCTCTTGATGTTCTAACAGTTTAATGCATTATTTTACTTCAGTTAATGCTTGAGGGTACCCATTTCCTGGAATAACCACATTGTGAGGATAATTTAAACTCTGAAAGACGACTTTTGATGTTTTCTTTATTTATTGTTAACATTTTCAAGGATACAATCAAGGTCTGTTCTGTCATGACCATTCTTGTTTTCCATGTACCCAGTGAACAAATTGGGGAATTTATCGCTTCTGATGTCAGTGATTCTTCAAGGCTTAACCCTTCATCAGTGCAAACAGCATCTGACAATAAATCAGTTATACCAAGAGCAAACGGCCTACAACAGGGGAGGGGAGAAATGAAACTAACCCTGTAACAGGCAGTGGAGGCCCATAGGGTTGTGAGATGTCCAGGCTTCCACAATCTCTAGACAATCATGTCACAGATGGCAGCAAGACTGTCAGCCTTACACACTGGCTGCCCTTTACCCCCAGTAAGATTCCCGGTACTCATTTCTGTTTGAGGCTGAATTGACCCCAGGGCCATAATGTGACTGGAAGGATTTGGTCAACTGCAAAGCACTACTAAATCTAAGGGCTCTTTGGAAAGTAACCTCCAGTGAGCTGTTAACAAAACAAGCAATGAGAAAAAAATTAACTATATACAAAAAATATGTACACAATTAAACTACTTCTGTTTGTAGCCAGTGCCAGAATTGAGGCACTTATCATATCAGGGAAAATTTTTTGTATGCTTGTGTCAAAGAAGTCTACCCCCTGTGAGTTCAGCCATGTTTTGGCACCTAGTGAAGACACTTAGTGTTGACAGCCCTCATAGAGATCATTGGGCCAAAGCAAGCATGGGGGTAAGCAGCTGGGTCCTCCTCAAAGATGATAAATTTGTCTTTCCTTGACTCCCTCCTTCACAAATTATGTGACCTAGTGACACTGCTGCTGCCCAATATGTGAGGACAGTGAAAGAAACAGGTTTTGACAACCTTGAGACTTGAAACCTGAATCAGGATCCCTCTGAGAACACATATGAAGCTATTTTCTTGTACTGCTGCTCAACAATAACCCAGTGTGGGGCAATTTGTAGACGTTCTGAAGACTAACATCATCAATGGCTTTGCTATTTTAGAGGCCTGTATGGGCATGTGAGGATGAAACCACAAACCTTTTTACTGATATACTATATTAGCCATAAAAAGGGCCTTGTTATTAAAATTGTGTCTCTCAGAAAAGTAGGCTTGCCTTATTCTTGGGTCCTAAAGAACAAAAATGAAGAACATTATGAGGGGTTCTAATTGTTAATTCTAATAACATGTGTGAAAACATGTAGAGTTAAATAGGTAAAAAGGTAACGTAAAGCTATCCTTGTAACAGGCTGTGACGGCCCACAGCGTTGTGAGGAGGCTCCCACATTTTCTCTAGACAATCGGCTTACAGATGGCAGTAAGGCTGTCAGCCTTATATGCTGGCCGCCCTTTAGCCCCAGGAAGATTCCCGGTACTTATTTCTGTTAGAGGCTGAGTCGACCTCAGGACCATAGTGTGGCTGGAAGGATTAGATAAATTGAAAAAATTCAACCTCACTGGGACTCAAACCCACGACCTTCCAGCTTGAAGCATAGTACGCCATCCAGCTATGCTACCACATGCCCCAAACCTAGAGTTAAGACTAAATTTTTCTTTGATTTTCTCATTGGAAAGATAGAGGCTGCCTTATATTTGGGCTTGGCACATTCCTTACTCAGAGAACTTGATGCTTCCCCATCTAATCCCTCTAAAAGTCAAATTATCACTAAGTATTGCAGAAAAACTTACATATATCTGGCTATAAGTCTTGCCATAAACTAAGGTCATAGGTCAAAATCAAAATGCTAATATGTCACAAGACATAATAAGCCCCACTTAAGAGCTTAAATTAGAACAGGAATGAGCTCTGCCTTAATTACATCTGGAGTTATTTGTTTTGGTCAATATGAGTGAAAGGAATTTTGATGAAAACTGTATCTGTCCAATTAATGGACACAGGAACATGAAATTTCAAGTGACCCTGTCTATGGAGACCCAACAAGAGAGAAAAATTTTGCTAGAATTAGTGATGATAATGAAAATTTTCTCTCAAAACTGTGGATCTGAAGGAATGATCTATATCTTTTCCACAACATACTTTTTGGGTTACATGTATTTTAATTTGTTTAACAGCGTGTGAGACAAGATTTTGTGTTTGATGAAGTTGGTGTCAGCTGTACTTTAGTTTCGAGAAAGGTGGTCAGAATGGGAACAAAGGGGTTCAAGGTGAAATTTCTAACAGTTTTCCCTTCAATGACACTGCAAATACAACAATTATCCTTACAATAATAATGCAAACAATTTATAAGAGAATATAATTAGAATTATGTTGGGATGCAGAAGGAAGGATTCGTGCAGGAACTTATTTAGAGAATTAGAAATCTTACCTCTGGCATCTCAGTATATACTATCTCTTATGCTCTTTGTGATAAAAAACAGAAACAAATTCATAGTAAATTCAGAGATTCATAGAATAAATACCAGACAGCAAAATAATCTCCATAAACTTCTTGTAAATTTGAGTAAATACCAAAAGGGAGTTTACCGTTTAGGAACGAAGGTCTATATTAATCTACCACAACATATTAAGGATATATCGAGTGACACTAAGAGTTTTGAGGTACAATTAAAACAATTTTTATATTTACATTCTTTTTATTCTTTACAGGAACATTTCAGTTATAAATCTTTTTAAGATGCGAGTAGTTGTCTTGCTTTACAATTTAAAAGAAGACAAGATTGTCAATCTGTGTTCTGGTTTTTAGATGCTTATTTTAGATATACACAATCTTTATATTACTGTATACTAGTCTTTATTTCAATTTATTATATAATTAATGTATGTCATGCAAAACTCATTAATGACATTCTGTTTTAACTATTGAATTTTTAATTAATAGACTTGTATAAAACTGTACAAATTGTATAAGGTTTGCCATTACTTTTATTACTAAAATTAACTTACTTATTATATTGTATATGTTTATCAGTATTTTATACAAATGTGTATGCTACTGGATGACAACTGTAATCCTTAGTTGTGACTGTAATTAGTATGATCTCCACATCCTCATGAGAGTACCCTTGACAGGATTTATAGAAGGTGAATAAATGAAATAAATGAACACAGTCAGGAATCATCCAGTTAACAGATTTAATGTCACATGATATGAATTCGTAAAAGACTTCAATTTTCATTAGAAGTTCATGAGAGTGGATTTTTATTGGTACTTGCCTGACTTATGTACAATTAGAAATTAATTTCAATTATTAGTAAAATAACACAATTTTACTGCCCAAGGAATATTAGAGAATGTTGGTTTGCAGCACCCCATTTTTACTTAATGATTAAAGGCTTACCATATGGACATCTTTCAAATGTTTTTAACCATGTCAATATCTTGGATCAAACTTTTCAGGCAATAACAAAATTTTGTAGCTGAATCTAAAACATAGGACCCATAAAAAAACACATCTTACCTTTTTAATTTTCAATATTTTCTCTGGAACACACCATCACCGGCAAAATGTACGCACACCCTGAAGCACACACTATGCAGTCATTAGAGAACTAGCACACGACTCAATCTTTTGTTGAGAAACAGCAAGGACTGGACAGTGTAACACTCAGTCGAGGGCAATTTATACAAAAATACATTCTTCCTACTTGATGAAAGCCATTTTGTTTCATAACACTGCCAAAATATTTCTAGTTCAACAACACAGTAACTTGACACAGGCTATTATGCTAACAAAATACCGTAACTCTCTTAATACAGATATCGGAACACACAAAACAGCACTAACCGCAACGCCATTTCGTCGCGATTACGGACATTGCGGATCGTCACGGAGGTCACGGACGATTGCAGACACGGATTATTAAAATGGATCCATCATGATGTTAGTCATCCACAAACTCCCAGAATGCGCATCTACATGCAGCCGTATTGCAGGAAACACTCCCACACCACAAAGAAACTTGGTATTTTATACGTTTATATTCAGAATTACTGGATTTTTGGACGGTGTTCATCGTCCTGTATTTTAAGCACAACACACAACGTTTTGGAAACTGGAACTGTTTCCGTTTTCAGGTCAGAAATCTGTATAATCTAGTTATTTTATCCCTGGCATTTAGTAATCTGTGTTCCCATAAGCAACCAAGGATTGTAGATTTGCAACGCAACCAACTCCAAGGAGTTGAGCCCTTCTGGAGAAACTGCCAGTTCCGCAGCTACTCAAGAATGTCCTAATATTTTATGAAACCTGATGGTTCATTATGCTGTTCACAAGAGTCCTTTTCCGGTCCTTATCCTGAGCCACATCACTCCAGTTCATAACAACTCATTCTGTCTTTCTAGCAAACAACAACAAGGAAGGCTATAAAATAAGAAATCTCCAAAACAAAATCATTGAAATCGAACTGCCTAATAAATCCAAGCACATAATCCAGTGCACAAGATGCCAGTTGTACGGTCATTCTAAGACCTATTGCAATAGGCCTTACCTGTATGTCAAATTTGGTGGACATCACAATTCAGCAACTTGCAAAAAGAGTAAAGACACCCCGGCAAAATGTGCCTTTGTGGAGGATCGCATCCCGCAAATTACAAGGGCTGTGAATACTACCACAACTTAACTAAAAATAGAAATGCAACCCAAAAAATGCAAATTCCAAATGATAATTACACTACAGCACCAGACCCTCAACCTATTGCCCCCCTGCCCAACACACTACCAATCCTGCCTCCGAGAGTAAACAGGTCTTATACAGATGTAACCAGAGGTAAGAAAGACAACAGCCAAGACACAACGCTAAGCAAATTTCTAGAAGAATTCAAACAGATGTTTAATCAACTTATACAGCAAAATAGCTTAGTACTTAACTCTTTGACTGGCGTGGGCGTGTTTTAACGCCCAGACGATGCCAGCCGTTCCCTGGCGTTGGCATGTTTTAACGCTTTGACAGTCTCTTCCCTTCTTTGCTCTCTTGGCACTCATCAACCAAAGACATATATATGATAGTTTTTGTGCATGTTTGTGAAGAACCCTTGTAAACTTTGTGGGGGTCTATATTACTGTCAGAACCCTCTGAGAAGGAAAAGGTCAGAAAATATTTCACATTCATTCAGTTTCACCATGGCTTCTTGCGGGAAGTGTCTTCGTGTTCCTACAGACCAGCTGGAAAATGTTGTGAACGAGATTTGTTCTGATGATGATAGTGGCGATGAAATAATGATTCCTGAATTGGATGAAGTTGATNCGTGTGCAACATAATCTACATACCAGACACATATCAACGATGTAGATGTTGATAATACGAAGAACGTGACATTGTGTTTTTAAATGTTAAGTTTTAGACTGGGTTCAGTGTGGCAGCAACGTTAAGAGTATACACCTGATGATGGCCGATAGAGGCCGAAACATGTAGTGTAGAAAGAACAAGATCAAAGACATATAAATATATATTGTTTGCACTTAGGACGGAGCTTGTATCATTTATTATGTATATTCTGATTGCTGACTAAACAAAAAAAAAATATTAATCTTAATATTATCCTCCCCATCTACCCATAGGTCTTCCTAGAGGCATCTTTCATTCTGGCTTTCTCACCAAAATTCTACATGCATTCCCTTTCTCTCCATGCAAGCTTCATGCCCTGCCCATCTCATCCTCCTTGACTTGGTAATTCTAATTATACTTGGGGGAAGAGCACAAGTTACGAAACTCCTCATTATGCAAAATTATAGAATATTTGTTAACATCGTCCAGTGTGAAACAATTTGCAGATATTTATTGCCCTTACATGTTTCAGTCAGCTGACCATCTTCAGAAGGCATAAGGATCAACATGTTATGGGACTACTATTACAAAGTTCGTAATACATACTTATTAGTGTTTATATAAAAAGTTATTTACAATTATTTGGATTTAAATTTCATTAATGTCTAATATATAAATATTGTGACTTGTTACAGTACGCCCATCCCTGCGCAACGGCTAGAACGGGAACACAGTTCCGCGACAGCTGGTGTCAGAAGTGGGATTCGAACCCACGTCCACAGAAGTGGACTTCCAATGGCTTTGGCTTCCAAGTAAATGGCCTTCCAATAACGACCTCCTCCACTATTTTGTCGTCTGCTATGTAGCGTATTTATGCCCTTGTTCCCTGTGACGCTCCTGTGGGTGTGTACTTGTGTTTTATCACAATGTCAAACATAACTATTCTGGTCATCGTTTTTTTCTTATGCTCTTTTGTTCTTTTATTTATAAATATAGCAATTTAAACAACTTAATGAATAAATAAAAGAAAAAATCATAAAAGAAAACGATGTCAAGTTATGTTTGACATTGTGATAAAACACAAGTACACGCATAGGAGTGTCACAGGGAACAAGGGCATAAATACGCTACACAACACGCGAAAATATACTGGGGGAGGTCATTATTGGAAGGCCATTTACTACTGAGTTTGTATCGTGGATTGGTTAGTAGGCACTGAGGTTGGAGATTAACAAATTTTGAGTCAGTGTTCTTTAGCGTGATTCAGTGCCCACTCATTTGTTGGACAAGATCAGTGGTGTGCCGTGCATGGAAGCAAGGGAAGCATTGCTTCCGTATTTAAGAAACGAAAAGAAAAGTATTCATATATAAATAATTCAATTTGAATAATAAGGATTTGAATATTGTCATTTAGAGCGTGTTCCTGCTCAAGGCCACATGCCGCCGCCTCCTTCTCCCTTTCCCCGCTTGGTGGGACCGACCAAGTTTCTTTCGTTAATCTCCGTACGAATTAATCCCATCCGAAGAGGCCAACGGAAGCAAATTTCGGTTTGCTGGCTAGACCAGCAAAGGAATGTGTTCTATCGATGGTTATGTGAAAACTAACTGTTTATGTGTGATTCAGTCTTGTTGGGTGTTATAGGTAACATTAAGTTTCACTAAAATATTGTAAGTGCATATTTATATGGCGTAATACTGTATTTGTGATCGTATTTTGACGCATCAGAGAGAAGCAATCCGCGTTTAAGGGAAGCAAGTCTGATATTGTGGTACGAGGGGCAAGGGCGTGAATAGACTACACGGACAGGCAACAGTTAAATGAATGCTGGCAGACAACGCGACTGCGACTGTGCAATCGAAAGCCTTTTAAAACGGGGGTTTAATAGCAGGGACTTTCCTGAAAAGAAAATAATTATGGAAAGGGGACGACCGACATGAGAGTCGCCAGGACTTAAAGCACAAACCAAATTATGTGCGAGAAAATTTAATTTGGAACAGTATTCTAAAACAAGAGTGGCTATCCGGTTGCCGTAATATAGGAAAATTGTTTTGTTGGCCATGCCTATTGTTTCTCAATGAAAAAATGCATGGAACAAGACTGGGTTTGGTGATATCAAGAAACTTCATATAGCACTGAAACGACATGAGAACTCTCAGACTCGCATTATTTCAGCAATGCAACTTATTATGTTCGGGAAATCTCGAACTGACTGTCAACTTCACAATCGAAAGCGCCTGGCGATACTACAGCAGAATGAAAATGTGAAAGAAAAAAGAGAAATAATGAAACGCTTGATTGATATCATCTGCCATTTAGGAAAGTGGCAACTTGGTCTCCGTGGTCATGACGAAAGCGTGGATTCTATCGACCGAGGTAATTATGTGGAATTAGTTCACTTGTTGAGGTAATATGATCATAAATTCAACGTTCACCTTGAGAACCGTACAGTATTTACAGGTTTATCGAACAAAACACAAAACGACCTTATGGATTCAATAAGTGATGTAAATTTTGGTGAGTTGATTGCTATCAGTTCGTTTATTAGATACCACTGCTTCCCTTACCAAAAATAGTATCGCACGCCACTGGACAAGATTGAAGGCATTTAGTGGAATTTGTGTTTGTTTTGTAACCGAGATGGGCTGGAAAATGTGCTTCAGCTAGAAACCATAATGTAGTTAACGTATACGCTTGTAGACATAAAGTAATTTAGGATTTAGGGACTTTATTCGGCAGAAGTTACACGGTATGTTAGGAACTCAGAATAAATACGAACTGAAAATTTCAACCAGCTGCAAGAGCGGTGCGGTTAGTGCAGCAGTGGTTGGGCCGTCCGGTCTCCGAGCGAACTGCTCCCGGAGTATCATCAAGAACGCGAGATGACGGGGCCGACTGTGTGTAAAATACGGTGGAGTGAAATCTTAACGTCCTGTGAGATGAACCATAACGACTTAATAGCGGGACAAACGAAGAAATAGAGCTACTCCAAACTGCCCTACTGTAAAGTAGGGCATCTTATCCACATCCCGGCTCCAGTAAACGAAAAGGCTGGCCTCGGAAGGAATTGATAGCCGGAGCCGAGAGGACCGTGTTTTGTAAACACCTCGATGTCAAGGCGCTCTTTACAGCCATGCTGACCACGTACGTACAGAGGAGACGTGAGTGAATCCCCCCTCCCCGAAAGAATCAGCCAAAAGATCGAATACAACAATCATGCCGACACATGGACTGAAGGATCCTAGGATACGATCTCAGGGCGAGCTGTCGACAAGGAATTTCTTTGCCCCCTGAGTGCATCAGAGATGGGGGTCGAGCGTACCCTCGTGGATGAGACAACAGACAAGCCCGGCAGAGACTGCAGCAGCCGTCGTCCAACAAGTCAGGTAGGCTGTCTCCCATTATGCTAACTTCTACAACAAACCTGATACAGTTGCAGGGGCATATCAAAGACATTGCTAGGAGCAATTTTGAGTTTCATAACACCAGAAGCGGGATCAGAATTGTCACGAAAGAAATGGCGGATTTTTCAGCGATAAAAAATTATCCTATTTTAACTTCTTCCCGAAGTCAGAAATCCCATTAAAGCTGTACTTCGTAACCTTCTCCACAACACTCCAGCTGAGGACATTTCTGACGGCCCGGTGAGTCTGGGGTTTCACGTCATTAGCGTCAAACAAATAACAGGCACACGTTGGACACCTCCAGAGGGAATGAGTAATTTTAACCTTCCTATGTTCCTTATCACCTTGCATAGGACGGCGAAATCCGAAGACATTTTCCGACTGACCAGCCTCTACCACACTGCAATCTTGGTAGAGGCGCACAAAGCTCAGAATGGGCTCACTCAACGCTACAGCTTCAAGCAGAGAAAGCTCACCCCTTCAAATACTGGCGCTGCAGGCTCTCTAAGAAGGAGATGTTCAGAAGAAAGCCCCAGAGAACACCCAAGACTACAACGGGAAGACTGTTCTCTACAAAACTCACCACTCCACGCGTGTCCTTCGCGACGGCGCTTAAAGACAAGACAAAAGGAACAGCGGCAGCCTCCGGCACGTCAGGTGCTAGTCGCACCTCTTGCCACAGTGGAACCGCAGGCCCCTGCTCACTTACTCCAGTAAAATCAGCAACCAACAGGTCAGTCACTTCGGGCTCCAAAGGTAAATAGTTCGTCTCCCGACAATATGTTGAGATTAGTAACTGCAGTACAGCAATTTATGACAGAGTTCAAGGGTGCTGTGTCAGAGGACAAAATAGTGGTCATTACCAAAACTGTCCTAAATCTTATGAAGCAAAATGGCCACTAGATTTCGCAGACCTCTCAAAGTCATAGCATTTAATGTGAATGGCACTGGGAGGCAGCGCTATGAGCTCAGTAAACAGGTGTAAGGCGGTCCATACACGTACGAGTCTGGGTCGAGCGGATCCGGGCTCGGATTAATTTCACCACAAACGGACGAGTATGACTCACTGGAACCCGTGCCAAGTTGGACTCGTACGGGTATGGGCCCCCTAAGACATACACGTAGATGTGGCCCTCTTTTCAGAGACACATCTGAAACCTAATGAGGTTCTTTATTCAAAATTACCACTTTTATCGAACGGACAGCTATCCGGACAGAAAAGGTGGAACTGCCGTTTTAGTTAGAAAGGGCTTCCCCAAAACCATGTATACCTATCACCTCTTGCTTCAGTAGTCTGCATACCTATTGGTAATAGTGAAGGTGTTCTTGCAGCTTTTTATAAATCTCCTAACCGTGCCTGGAATGATGCTGACATCAGTGAAATCTTAAGTTTTAGATAAAATATTGTCGCGTGTTGCCTAAGTAACACGACAAGAAAATTCACGTAGGTCCCAGATTTGGCTACTACATGTTTATTGAACGCTCACTTTTACTCTTACAATTACAATTATTCACAATCACAACTACTGCTTCGAAGCCAACTGAAGACTGACTACTCTTATAAGGTCAAATGCAAACTGAACTCGTCTGAGTCTAATTTTTATTACTGTTTGAAAGTTACGGTCTTGCTTTTGTGGGCGGTGGATGTTATATAAGGACTAATACCGCAAGGGTTCAGTTGGGAGAAAAATCTCTGGTCGTGGATCTCAAGGGGCTTGACGCCAAGACAAAATGTTTGGCGGTAAACCGCGAGTTAAGGATACGAAGCGGTCACGGAAAGGAGTTGTGAGGATTCAGCTATGAAGTGTTAACAGACAAAGGAGACTTTATAGTAATCTTGAAAGTGAAAGAACTAATTATTGTTACGACTAGTGAAATCCAATAAACCGATTCACCAATCCAAACCCGCGTCTTAGTCACTGTGACCTGTGTCAACTGGTGTTTAAAGTGGTACGGATTGGAGCGGAATGATCGATTATTGGAACGAAGACCTGTTTTACAGTTCAATTATACAAAAACTGAAAATATGGAATTCCTGAAAGCCCAAAACAAACTCCGTGGTGTTAGTCCGCAAGCGAACTATACTGACCGAGCGACTGCCGCTTATTGGCGAAGTTAATGCCAACTTTGGTGGATAGAGGGTGTCGCGTGGTCAGTGTAACGAATCCCCACGGCCGATAGGTTTGGTTTTCTAGACCGGAACCGCTATTTCCTTGAAATAGCTCCTCAACTAACGTCACGAGGCTGAGTGGACCCCGTCCCAGACCCATTACTTCTCAGAAAATCCGGTAACGCCGGGAATCAATAACGGACCTCTGACCACTAGGCAACAGAGGCAGTGTTGGCCGAAATGAACGCCAATAAGATGGGTAACCAAGAAAAGGCGGACGCAAATTTAAAGGAACTAAACGAAGACGTAAAAACCAACCAAGCCAAGACGGGAATAAATCTAAAGGAAATGAGAGAAGAAATCAAATCTAGCCAAGTGGAAATGAGATGGCGGACATGAAGGATGGTCGAAGAGATGATGTCGGGAAAAGTAACGACGGAGGTGTGTCTGGACAGCCAGGAACCAATTCCATGAAGAATGGAGGCCGTAGCGGAGCGGCAGAAGACTCCCAACGAAGAGGTCGTAATTCACTCCCTTAGGGCATGCCGAAAAGAGACGATGGAGGCACATCTGAAATGCGAGGAGACAATTGATCGCGCGACAGCCATGACGAAAACTATTCGAGAAAAGATGGGAGCGAAATCCGGAAGACACGGAATCCTAGTCGGCACATCAGGAGGTAATGAAATCGGTCAAAGGAAAAAGCGGCATAGGGGCCTGAAACTAGCTGCAGGGCGACGCGAAGTCAAAGGAACTGCCTGGAGGAGACTGTGGATCCCAGAGGAAGTTGGCCACCGCCTGCAGGAAGGTGTCCCGCCGTGCAGCAGTGGCACGGCGCAAGAGAAAAGTCTTCAGGAAAATTCGGACCCAGGGAAATCGTGGACAGCGGAATGAATTGGCAGCAGCCGGCAGGATGATGACCCACAGTACTAAAGTGCCACACTGCAGGGCAAAATCATGACATAAAGATGGCTAACAAATCCTTTGAGAACGCGGCACAGTTCAAATATTTTAGACCAGCAGTAACGAATCAAAACTTGATTCAGAAGGAAATTAAGAGAAGACAATCTTTTTTATTCTCATCAGATGTCTAAACACATAGAACTAGAATATACACAACTACAACTTTACCTGTGGTTCTGTATGGGCGTGAAACTTTGTCTCTGTCATTAAGGGAAATACAGGGTGGGGCGCAGAAACTTCCTTTTTGTGAAGACGCATTGTGAAGGGAGGGGAGGTCGCAGAAAAGTGGGGATAGGCTCGGCGAACGCAGCACTTGCGGAAGTTCCTGTCTAATACCCCTCAGTAGGAAACATGAGGTGGACGAGTGAGCAGCATGCGTTTGCTGTCGAAGCCTATTTTTCGAACAACCATTCCTACGCGACGGTGCAGCGTGCGTTCCGTACTCACTTCGGAATTTATCCCAGAGGTCCGGTTTCCTACTGGAAATCGATTGTTTTGTGGGTAGAGAACTTTAGGACAACCGGGAGTGTGGTGAAAAAAATCATCAGGACGACAATGGACCGTTACGACGCCAGAAAATGTGGAGGAAGTTCGACAGTCGATTTTGAGATCTCCAAGACGCTCCGCTCGCAAACATGCAGTCACCTTAGACATATCCAATCGTTCAATGCGCCAAATTCTTCACGAACATCTTCATTTCCATCCCTATAAGATGGTTGTGCAAAAATTGTAACGACGTGATTTCCAGAACCGAATAACGGCGTGCGGAATGTTATTGGAAACTTTACCACCTGACGCACTTGTTTTCTTTAGTGATGGGGCACATTTTCAACTATCCGGATATGTAAACAAGCAGAATATGCGGTATGTGGACGTGATTAAAAACTTTTTCGAACCAGCTCTTGAAGAAATACATCTAGAAAATGTCTGGTTCCAACAGGATGGTGCCACGGCCCACACAGCCAGAGCTTCGATGACAGTTTTGAGGGCATATTTCCCCGGACGGCTCATCTCGCTTCTAGGTGACATCCCGTGGGCAGTGCACTCACCTGATCTAACGCCCTGTGATTTTTCTTTATGGGGATACCTCAAGGCAGAGGTTTTTAAACATCGCCCCACAAACCTGCTCCGGCTGAAGAATGTTTTCTGCAGGAAGTAGCCCAAATTCCGGTGCACATTTTGGAAAGTGCAGAAGGAAACTTCAGAAAACGGTTGCATCAGTGCATAGAGAACGGTGGCCACCACCTTCAAGATATTTTTTTAAAGTATGTTCTTTCATTAGCTAAACATAATTTTCTCTATCAGCAATAATTTTTCTTTTATTTGCCTTCAAAAAAAAAAAAAAAAAAGGAAGTTTCTGCGCCCCACCTGTACATACACTGAGGGTGTTTGCGAACAGAAGTTTGAGAATATCTGGACCGAAGAGAGCTAAAGTGTCAAGAGGTTGGCGAAAACTACATAATGAGGAGCTTCACAACTAGTACTCTTCACCAAGTATAATTAAAATGATAAAGTCAAGGACAATGAGATGGGCAGAGCATGTAGCATGAACAGCAACGAAATGTGATGCATATAAGATATTGGTGGGAAAGCCAGAAGGAAAGAGACCACTAGGTAGACCAAGATGTCGGTGAGTGGATAATATTAAAATGGATCTTAGAGAGATAGGGTGGAGTGGTGTGGACCAAATTGATTTTGTGAATACGGGAATGAACTTACGGGTTCAATTAATTGCTGGGAAGTTCTTGAGTAACTGTACAATTGGTGGCTTCTCAAGAAGGGTTCAGTTCCATGAAGTTAGTTACATCATTAATATGGACACAGAAAAGTAACATAAACTAAATTTATAAACACTTCATGAGGCAAGGAGAGGAGACTACAGAACTACTAAGCAACAAGTTTGGGAAAAAGAAATTTTTAAGATTTTAATAATGGTTCATATTTACATAAAATATCCTAAAATAAAACAAGAAACAAACAAACCAGTTGGCAACAATATGATGATACTGACACACAATGTAAGGGAGAGAAGTCTGGAACAGCATGGTAAAACAAAGGATATAGGCATTAGATGGCAAGAGCAAATCTGGGCAATCATCAGTAATAGCTCATAATTAATTTTCAAGACCATCAGCTGCTCATGCCTGTCACAGATATTTATTAATGAAGCTGCCTGGAAAATACCGCCTCAAGTACTGCACAGAACATGAAAAGAACATCGTAAGATTACTTGTTCATCATTATAGCAATAATGTAACAGTTCTTATGTGCATTATTAGTTTGATGATGTTGATAATGGTGGTGATCAGAATCTTGCCCAGGATTTCATTTCGGGAATAGGAGATTGAAAAATAAATGAACTGTAACTACTTCTCACTGTCTTGATTAAAAGATCAAGTTATTTCTCAAATATACAAACTGTTTTATTATCATAGCATTCTTCTCTCCGAGGGAAGGGGCACAGAAAAGTGAGGCTGGAACTTTAAATATAAAGACATTTCTAATGTTGGGTTATATTATATTACAAATTTTAAGCATATAAATTGTAAACAAGCAAACATAAACAACTAAAAATGCCACAATGAAACATATCATGTATACTTTCTGTCCATACAGCCTTATATAGGATTTTCACATTTTGGTAAATGTAACATTACCCTTTCTAGAACACTCACCAAATCAATATACCTATTTTCTGTTTCATTTTCTACTGTTACATTTTCTGAGCCTTGCAAAACATTTGCCACTAAGTCCACCTGTGTAGTTACAGTTCGCTTTGGAATGCTTAACAGTTTCATAACTTGGTATAAAGCCTTCCAATCACTGTCACTATTTACAACATTAGCTCCTTCATCTAATGGAGTCTGTTTTAAGATTTCATTTGAACTGATTACCTTCACATCCTCAGAAGTAAATACACTGGCATTCAGTGAGTCCTTCCTCCTACAATTAGTTGTAACTTCTTCCAAACATTCTTTGTGTATATTCTTGTTCAAAGACCATAATGCATTCTGACGCTTTGCCAGATTATCAACATCTTGCTCTTCTACAAGGAGTGGAGATTGATGTGATGACTGTACATCAAACTTATATTCTTCGGTATCCTTGCTTCGTTGACTGGTATCAATGTCAGGATATTCTTCCACACTGATTTGATCATCACTGGATAATGCCAATAATGGACGACTGGAGACAAGAATTTTAAGATGTGGCGAGCAAATGAGTGGCGCACTTTCTAATGGGTTTGATGTTAATTTTGACAACTCATGAACAGCACTATTTACTGACTGGGTCTTTGGAAACTGGTTTGTATCCTTATATGTACAGTGGCTGGGCAATTGGGGCTGGAGCAGGTCTTCAGGAAGGTTTGCCGCTGAATCATGAGACTGGAGTTCTGACAGACAATCATTTGCCTCTCTTTCAAATGAATGGTAAGAGGAGACTGGTTTAATGAATGAGAAGGATTCAAATAATTGAGGAATAGAGTTTCCTGAGGATGGTAGTGAATTATCACTCGCTGAAACATCGTTTCTTACAGCTGAATGGCGTCTTGAATGGCCTGATTTTCTACTTTCCTTGGTCAACTCATTTCTATTTAGCTCAACTACAGCACATAATTTAAGCTTAGGATCTGAAATAAAGACATTAAAGAAATATTATACTCAATGAAAATATTACATATAAATCAATGTACACACAGCAAATCAATGTAGGACACATTTTTTTATGACAGAACTGATAGCAGTTTGTAAAAAAGGGAGAGAGAGATGATGCATTCAAAGACTAAAATTATACTACTACAGTCAATAATTTCGTGGATTGTGGTATGTTGCACCACATTACAAGATACTCACATACGCTTACACATATCTACATCCTCCCTCAAAACAGTTGCCACTGGCTGCTACGCAAGTCTGCCAACATTGGTATAACTGACGGGAACACTGCTGAAAGATATTTGCAGGAAGGTCCTGTACGGCTTCCGTTGTGGCAGTGATGATCTCAGCTGACTAAAACTGAGGCCAACATAGCGTTTCTTTCATGCAGGGAAAGAAAAAGAAATCACATTGTGTGAGATCAGGTGAGTATGGAGGATGTGGCAAAACGGTGACCTGCTGTTTTGCCAGCTCCTCTTGGACAAGCAGAGCAATGTGCAGGGGCACTGTCATGTAGCAACAGCCAGTTCTTCTTGCGCCAAAGCTCAGGACACTTATAACGAATTGAATTGCATAGACTGTGAAGGATCTCATTGTAGCGGTGCTTGATTACAATCAATCCTTGTGGGATGAATTCCATGTGAACAGTTCCAGATGAGTTGAAAAACAGTTTAAGCATTACCTTACTTTTCAAACTGTCCTGTATCAGTTTCTTATTTCTTGGTGATGATGGTGATTTCCAGGTGGCTGATTGTTGGTTCACTTGCGGATCATGCAGAAAACACCATGTTGCATCTCCTGTCATGATTTGGTTGAGAAAGGTCCCATTTTTGTCAGCACTATTGATCAGGTCACCACAAATGCTCATGCAATGTACATTGTGGAACATTGTGCTGGGTAACACAAGACATGTTTAGGTCATCAGACAAAATTCTGTGGCAACATGGCTCATTCCTGCTGCGATTCCATCTACTGTTTGGGATCAGCTGGCATGAACCAATGTTGCAACTTCTTAGATCTTGAGTTCAGTTCTGACCCTTCTTGGCCAACCGGTATGCTCATCATCTTCCAAACTGTCTCTTTCATGTGCAAAATGTTTGTGTTACTTAAACACAGCACTACATCCCAAGGCTTCTTCGCCATATGCTTGCTTGATCATCTGAAACATTTCACTAGTGGATTTGCCTAATTTTTGGCAGAACTTGACATCTGCCTGTTGCTCAAACTGTGACATTCTCGACTTCCACCACTCACAGACAACTACCATTCACAACAGTGACATTCTTTCTGAATACACCTCATGCATGCAACTGCTTCTTGCTGGGACGAGAGAAGAATTGACACGGCACCATCCCATGGGCCCATGTATCCACACAGTGCATAACAGAGCCACTATGCGGCCAATCTACAAAATTATTGACTGTACTACGTAGTATCAAGCACAGCGAACATCATCCATTCAAATAACGAACCATTCGGTATAACAAACTTTGGTGTTGAAATGAAGTGAATATACAAATATGATAGAATCTGGAGAACATAATGAACAACAGCAAAATGTCTTTTCACACATTTATTCTAGAAAACTTTTAAATAAATGTAAACGGGCTCGTTTTTAAGATACTTCCACTCCCAAAGTATGAAGTATGTAGAATATGCATGAGCCATTACTCTCTCCAGCTTCTAAATGCCGCACGATATTCAGAATACAAAAGGCTGAGACAGTGTCTCTGAAATAACAGTGCAAATGGTTGCTCCAGTCCATGTAAACTGTATAGGCAATATATAGATGTTAATCTGAACAAAACCAACCACTTACCATTCAGGAGGGCAGACGCCTCCAAACGTAAATTCTGATGGATATCACTCAACATATGGCAGTTCCTTTTGTTGAATACTCGCCATTTACACCTTCTATGGTGAACAGGCTCATCCGGTATGGCTGATTTCATATACTTACAAATGTTTTCATTTTTTATATTATTAGAGAGAATTTTATCTGATGTCACTTTTGTAACTTCTGAGGTATCAAATTCAAGACCTTGAGGATTTGATGTTGATGGGTCTAAACACCTTGTATGTTTTGATGATGGATGTGCTATCAACCTATCACAATTTTTGACAGGTGTTGTAGGAGAATCTTCCAATATTTCGTTGTTGCTTAATTTGATAACACTTTCAGATGTCTGAAATTGTTTCAGAGTAATACTTTTATAAACTACTGATGTTTTAGATGATTTTGGAACAGGCCTGTTTTTATCTGATACAAAGTTTTCAACATTATCATTTCTTCTTGATCTGATCCCATGTATATGATCCAGTAATTTGGAAGTACTTACATCGACAGTCGATTCTGTCTCGTGTGTTTTAACGTCTTTGGCTTTTATAACAGAGGAAATATCACAGTGATTTGGTGTACCTTGTGGCTGGCTCTGCAAATCTTTGAGTTGAGATAAATCCAGTTCTCTGTCTAAAGGAACTGGTGGTCCCAATGTCTTTACAATACAAGGTCTTTCAGGTTCACTACCAAGGTTGAATTTCTTGGTTTCAGTTCTACTAGCTTGATCGTCCCATGCATTTTCTGCTGGTGCACTATTTAATGTTACTGAGCTTTCATTTAGTGGCTGAGATTTTGTGTTAACATTTAACCCTGATGATGCTAGATGTTCAAGAACTGATGAGTTCACACTTATGACTGGCAAGTTCTCTTTATTTCCAGAGGGTGAAATAGGTCCTACATGAGGCATCATTTCTGATTCTGATGATGAAGTTACTGACATCTGTTTCTCATTAGATTTAGGCTTTCTTGGAAATATATCATTTTCTGAAATGTGTCCTGATACCTGTATAAGTGACATAGCCATTAAATCTTTTTGTACTGAAGGAACTTCAACATCATTTGAGGATTTGTTTCTTGGGTGTGACATTGCAACTAAAGACAATGAGTTTGGAAGAGGGTTGATTGTGTCTTGCTCCTTTAATTTCACCAACACAGCTCTGCCTGATTTGTCTACTGCAGTTACAGGGAATTTTGTTTCACTTCTTATACATGCTGCTGTTTCATGAAGTACACATTTTTCCACCTGCTTATCACTTTCTTCTTTGCATCCTGTTTTAAGCAAAGACAACCTTGTCTGAACCACAGATTTGTCAGCTTCTTCAGATCCTTCTCCAACAAAATGTACTACCTTCTTACATTTTATTTCATGTAATGATGCAGATATTTCATCATTCTCTACTTTACGTACAACTGATCCTATGTCTTCACCCACCATTTCAGTCGTTAGAGCTGCTAGCTTTATGCATTCCTTTTCGTGCATACAAGTTTCTACTTTTGACAATGAAACAGATTCTTCTTTATTTTCTATTTTAGGTACAGCCATATCCTTATTGTCTTCTTCAGCAACAAATGTTTCTGCCTTCAGCAACAAAGTAGATCCTTCATTACCTCCTAATTTAGGCACTGATATTTTGTTATTGTCTATTAAAGGAATACACGCTACAATTTTTTTACTACCTTCTGATTTTATACAATTTTCTCCAGAAAAAAACGTTGCTGCTTTGGACAATGAGGGGTTTGCTTGGCCTACTAATTCAGGTACAACTGTTCCTTCACTTTTTCTTCCCATTTCTGTGTTCATTGCTTCAGACACCTGTGCTACTATGGACGATATTATTTCTGCTTCATTCCCCTTTTCTGTCAATGATATTGTACTTTCTTTACTAACAATTTTGCATGTATTTTCCAATATTTCTGTTCTTCCTGTTTCAGTGACTGTCCCTACACTATGATCTTCTGATGTAGATTCAATACCTGTGCACAATGAAGCACATTTCTCTTTGCCTCCTAATTTACACATGGCTTTGCATTTCAGTTCAGACATACATATTTCTTTGTTCCTTTTCTTAACCATTAACGATGGCTGTAAATTTTTTCCCATTGGATCAAATTCTGTACCTTCTATTTCATGTACATCTTCCCCTTTATTTCCTGCTTTTGAAATGATTGTTGCCATTTTTTTATTTCCTACCACAGACTCTGCTATACTTCCTTTTCCATAAAGAATGGTGGCTTTTTCTCCATTTTCTCTCCTGCAAGCTGCTACTTCTGTACTTTCCACTTGTGGCACTGCAGTGGAATTTTCAGTTAACAATGCTGATGCTTTCTTACTCCTACTTACAGGAAATGTTTTTCTCTTATTTCCAAGCTCAATTTCTGAACAGTCTCCTCCTGCATACCCTTTATCAGATTTACGACAACTCTCCCTTACTTCTCTGTTCTTATTGTCTGCAGATACTCTTGGTTTTTCAGTGATTGCGTTTTCATGGCTATCTTGTAACAGTTCTGGTTGAGTTGCATCACCATTAGACTTCATGGACGTATTGCAGTCAGTCTGTTCCATTAAAGTGCAATGGATCAAAGTGTCAGCGGAATTCACTGTACCACAACTTCCAGTCATACTAGTGAATGATGAATTTGTCTCTACATCTTGCCGTGTTTTGGACACCCTAACAGGAATGGACTGGCATACATCATCAGATAACTGATTCTTTATATAATCTGCTGATAAAACTGGCAACACACTTCTTGTCGTGGAGGTAAAAGGATCTGCTTCTGATACAAAGGCACCACTTTCACAAATAAAAATATCTTTGGAAGCTGTTTTAAACTTCTCATCAGATGAATTTGTGGACTGTATTCTTAAAGATTTACCCACCATCTGATGTCTAACTGTACATTTATCCACATGAACGTTATTAAATTGAGCCTGTTTCAATTTTTTCACTCTACTCTGTTGGACAGATGCAGATGATTCATGCTTTGAACATTCAGTTTGCTTTGATGATATAAATTTTGTATTAATTTCATTAGTCTGGAAATGAGAAAATTTGCTTAGATTCTTTCGAGGCAGAAGATTCAGTACTACTGGTTTATATTCTCTATGTTTATTAAACGAATAGGACTGAATATGTTGTGTTTTAATTTCATTAGTTTCTCTGGAAATTATTTCACTTCTTATGTCTTCGAGGCTATTTGGAAGTGAATCTGTACTGCTGAACATTTTACAGTCGGCATCAGACTCACCCAGTGGAGAGTTCTTATTATTTATGGTAGTGCATGACAAGACAGATGGTGGTACAGTTTTCAACATGTGTCCTGAAGTAGGTTCATGACTATCTGAAGCAAATGAAGGTACTTGGGACTGGTTAGAGCAAGTTAAACTATTCATTTTTCTTTCCTCCAAATCTGGTTCCAAATCTGTGAGCAGTTCACATGACACTGATTTATTCCAAACACTCTGCAAATATTTATCTTCTCTTTGTTCACGAGTTTTTGATAGAATTTGTAAGTTCTGTTCTGAACTTATGTTCTCCACAACTACAACTTCTGCATCTAGTTCCAGCTTTTTAACATCACTTTTAGACGTTTCATATGTCTCAATTTTGCTTGGGGGTCCTACAGCTGATTTTCCTTTATTTGGATTTTCTGACATTCTGTCTTCTTTTGCAGGACTTTGAAGAGCTCTAGCTATAATTTTCAAGACACTAGAAGAAGGCTTATTCCTTTTAACTTCAGGAAGAAGATACCTGAGATTTGACTGGAGTCTGGTAGTAAGCGGAGATAGACTGCTCTTCCCTACATGTTTTAAATTACTTGTTATAGGAAGAGTGTGGCCTGAATTTCCTTCTGCCAAGTCTTTATCTGAGGAAGAATCAAATTCAACAGGGGCTGGTGGTGGTGGATGGTCTTCAGCTGGTAAGGGTGGAGGTAAAAATTCATCTTCTAGATTTAGATGGAAATATGAAGGTGGAGATGATGGTGGTGGTGGTGGCGGTGGTGGTGGTGGAGGCAGCGGCGGCGGCAGTGGTGGGAAAGCATTTGGAAAACATAATTGAGACTGATCAAAATTTGTTTGTGCAGAGTGGTAGTAGTATCCTTCCTGGTGGGAACTACTCATCTGGTTGTAATTTCCATACATCTGATGGACTGATGTTGAAACTATATATGAAGATTCAGCGTCTGGATATCTCCCCTGGAATGACAAAGTGAAGTGATTTTGAATATGGTTTTATACACTGGGAGGGGTAAAGGGTTAAAGCTATCCTTGTAATAGGCTGTGGAGGCCCATAGTGTTGTGAAACCTCAGGGCTCCCACATTTTCTAGACAAATGACTCACAGATGGAGGTTAGGTTTTCAACCTTATATGATGGCTGCCCTTTAGCCCCAGGAAGATTCCTGGTACTCATTTCTATTAGAGGCTGAGCCGAACCCAGTGCTGTAAGGATTAGGTCAAATGACCTCATCAGGAATCAAACCCACACCCTTCTGGCTTGTAGCATAATGCCTCAACCATGTATGCTATCACATGCCCTAAAACAAATATACCAAGCATACAAATTGATACACAGAGTGAATTACGGATCTGAGTTTTTATACCACCAAGTAACATTCTGCTCAATGCTGGAACACTGATACGCATGTGCCCATTCCAATCTTCTGTCATATTATAATCAACGTACAAGGGTAAGTCAATAAGTAAGTTACAAATCGATATAGAACTTTAATAAATAAGAGTATTGATTTGAAAAATGCTTTTATTTCTCGACATAATCTCCCTGTACATTGAGGCACTTGTCCCATGATTTCACAAGCCCCTGAAAACCAGCAGCAGAAAATTCTTTGGGCTGTTGTCGGAACCAGGCGGTGACTTCCGCTTCATTGTCGGGAAAATGTTCAACCAAAAGATGATGTTTAAGAGGGCAAAACAAATGGAAGTTGCTTGGAGCAAGGTTGGGGCTATATGGAGGATGCTCGAGGACTTCCCCACTTGAAATTTCTCAGCGTCTCATTTGTCCTGTAGTCAGTATGGGGACGCACGTTGACATGCAAGAGCAACACACCTTTGGTGAGGAGTCCTGGTCGCTTCCATTGAATGGCCTTACAAAGAAGTTTCCTGAGGATGTTACAGTAGGAGTTAGCATTTATGTAAATGCTGACTACTACTGTAACATCCTCAGGAAGTAAATGTTCCCTGTAAAGGGAAGTCACCGCCTGGTTCTGACAGCAGCCCAAAGAATTTTATGATGCTGGTTTTCAGGGGCTTGTGAAATCATGGGAAAAGTGCCTCAATGTACAGGGAGATATACTGAGAAATAAAAGCATTTTTCAAATCAGTAATCTTATTTGTTTAAGTTCTATATCCACTTGTAACTTACTTATTGACTTACCTACGTACTATTTACAATATGCCAGGAGGCAAAAAATGCAAATAAACTGTAGAAGAAATTCAGGTTCCATAAACTTCGGAATTAGTGGGTCAATTCACTACTACGCATAAAAGCAAAGATTCTTACCTTCTTTCTATCCTCACTGATCTGCAAAAAACTGTATCCACATTAAGCATGGTTACATATTTTAACTAGTATACTAATACAATCACATTTACACCATGTCCGTAATCCTTTGCAGTTCAGTGCTAAGATTCAGTAAGCCCTCTGTGAGTCCATTTAATACGATCTTTCTCTTATCATACTCACTAGTTTCAAACCTATTCATCAACTGTGTACCAAATTTGAATCCTTACCATAGGTCCTCACAGCCTGAATTAAATGATATTTAATTAACTCTGTGTCACCTTCTCTAAAAATGTAAATTTCTTCAAAACTGTCAATAATAAAACATGAAATAAAAAGTATCTTAAACAAACGAAACAAATATCATGGCACTGTGCAAGTTTCGTATTTATAGCTTGTTTATGAAAGGGGTTTGGGTATGAAAATATTATAAGATAACCATGGCCACTAGGTCAACCTTCTTCCTGGTCCCAGAAATAAGTAAAAAGCTCATATCATCTGTGACTAATTATCTTCCCTCTCCTCCAATACAGCCTGCCACTACCAGAACTTTGTTCACTTCTACACTGAAGATAGAGGCAGTATTTTCCTCTGAATCATCGTTTACCCACCTATCATACTGCATGATGTCATGACACTGAAGGTTACAACATGAATGCACCTGAAACTGTTTTATGTTTGTTTGTAATTCAATGATGGCCAGGATTCAGATATCACTGTATCAAAAGACCTTGGGGGGGGGGGGGGGTTAAGGATGGCCAGACACAGTGCATACTTTTTCCACATTTCACCTCTGACAAAGGTGAAACACCATGCTCCACCATGATGCTGCACAAACTGGTTCAAGTGCCAAATGTTGCTAACTTGCATCTTGGAGGTGCCTGGTTTGAATCTCGTCCAGAACCTCGACTACCCTAAATGTGGTTTTTCTCAGTCCCTCTAGGTGAATACTGGGTATTCCTTTTGTGTAGCTTGAGTTTTACATAATTTTGTGTGAATATGCATAGTAATTGAAAAAAAATTGGTGGTGCAAAACACATCTCAGTGAGCAATAAGTGTGCAAGTACAGTGCCAATGTCAACATGGTACAGGAAGTGAAATACAAATGCTGAGTGTAATAAAACAAAACTTACCTGAAAGTACATATTCTGATATGGCTGTTGCTGATATATCTGATTATTCTGGTATGTTGGGGTAGCGTAAGGTAGGGCGGATGGCACTTCATACTTGCCGTGTGAAGCACAGTGATAAACATTGTGAGCTGGTGCAATATCTCCCCCTTGTGTTGGTGCATAAGCAGCCTGCTCCAAATAAAATAGATATTCACACAGTCATCATGATGTAGAATATAATACAACACAATGCATACATTTACAGTGAATTGTCAAAAGTGGCCTCATTAAGCTGTATATTGCTGCATACTACAAAAAATCCATTCATGGTGATGACTCTTGTCAACAGCTCTGGTAGTTCTGACATTAGCAGTAGACTGACTGGTTACAGGCTGAACCATCAACGTTCAATTCACAACAGGGGCAAGATTTTTTTCTCTACTACAAGGCTGAAGACTAGGCCCGCCAGTCTACTGTCTAATGTTAATAAGGCCTCCTTCCACAGAAGTAAACAAGCTGGGAGTGACAGGATGATCACATTAACCTAAATTTAATGTATGTTGAACTCTACAGCCTTTATGTCTCCACAACATAACAACATAATGCTGAGAAGCAACTTTATCTCTTATTCATGTCTTTGTCCTCATACGAGGTCTGACAACAAAGTTTGCTAACTCACCACCCATGTGCTTGCAATGCACAGAAACCTCAGTGTGGTTTGATGACGTCGGCACATCAGCGTTTCACAGCTGTGCTGTTGTTGATCTATGGCAGTCTCTTTCTGAGTGGCATCTATTATTGTCTGAGCGTGTTTTGGTGTGCCGTCACGAGAATGTCGGAATTTGAATTAGAGCAATGAATTAACATTAAATTTCTTCTTAATTTGGAAAGAGGGGAAGCGAAATCAGAGATATGTTAATGAAAATTTACGGGGATAATGCTATGAAGTGGGTGACACGTTCTTCTAAGGGAAGAGAAAGTGTAACTGACGAAGAGAGATCAGGATGGCCAGAAATGAGTAGAACTGAAGAAAACATTGCGAAAGTTCATCAATTTGAGCATGAAAATCGTTGGCTGACTGTCAGGAGCATAGCAGAGTAAGTAAACATCGACAGAGAAACAGTTAGGAAAGTCCTAACTGAAAGTACTGACATGAGGAAAGTGTGTGTAAAAATGGTCCCAAAGGAGCTCACCAAAGAACAAAAGCAAATAAGAGTCGAAATTTGCCAAGACCTTTCGGAGAGGCAAGATGACATTTTGGGCCATGTCATCACAGGTGATGAAACATGGGTCTATCAACACGACCCTGAAATTAAGTGGCAAAATTCACAATGGAAGGCTATGAATTCCCCATGATCAAAATAGTTCCGTCAGTCCAAATCAAGAGTCAAAACAATGTTGTTAACTCTTTTTTGACATTAGAGGGATTATTCATTACAGTTTTGTATCACTTGGACAAACAGTCAACCAAGTTTACTATTTTGAAGTACTGAAAAGGCTGCATGAAAGAGTTAGACGGAAACAGCCTGAACTTTTTTCCAACAACTCATGGAACTTGCATCATGACAATGCACCTGCTCACATGGCACTGTCTGTGAGAGAGTTTTTAGCTAGTAAACAAATAACTGTGCTGGAACACCCTCCCTATTCATCAGATCTAGCATCCAATGACATTTTTCTATTCCCGAAGATAAAGGAAATGTAGAAAGGAAGACATTTTGATGACACTGATGACATCAGGAGTAACACGATGGCAGCTCTGAAGGTCATTTCACAAAACCAGTTCCAAAATTGTTTTGAAGGGTGGGCTATGTGCTGGCATTGGTGCATAGCTTCCCAAGGGGAATACTTTGAAGGCAACAACAGTGATATACAGCAATAAGGCATATAGCACTTTTACCGTGATGAGTTCACGAAATTTCTTGTCAGACCATTACATATTTCATAACACAAAATAATTTCCTAATTGCTTCCATGTTACCAGGGTATTCCTTAAGCAAGTAAAAATTAACACGTTCAAGAAATTCTCTCTTGTTGTGGAAATAAAACATTTAGGTTCAACTGTACCCCCAGACCATATCTGGAAGCAGTTCATATTTTCAGAATTCTTAAAATCAATTTCAATTATGAAGAAAGCAGTCTTCTGGGATGTGGCACCGTGTACATGTGGCATTAACTGACATTTTGGAGGAATGTATCGCCTCCATCTTCAGGATAGAAGGAAACATAAGAAATCCGCAAACAAAGAGACCGCGAGAACTGGTACAAGCATACGAAATGTCGGTTAACACATGTACATGGTGCCACATCCCAGAAGACTGCTTTCTTCATAGTCACCGCCATGAAAACCTCAAATCTTACAATTTAAATTATGTCTTCATCCACTGTTTTTAAAATGAAGTTGTGAATACTGATTAATCAAGTGACAGACTAGTAATTTTATTTACCAAGGCGAATGACAAAAGTTAAGATCAAACATATAAAGTATAAAGTTCCTTCTTATGTATTTTCTTTGATGTCCCTAAGGTTCAAACTGTTTAATTTAAAAACACATATATATAAACAAAGAAAAGCCCCATAAATCTACAGTTTCATGGTAGTGCAATGTAGCAATGAAACTCTTTGTTCTCATCCATTTCTTGTAGGTATTTTGGTTGCTAATATAATATGAAGATAAGGCAGAGGGGCACACAGACTTCACATAAAATAGCTACTGAAATAATGCAATTAAACATTGTAACATTGCAACATTCTTGTATGTGATTTTCAGTGAACTTCCTTTGCTTCATTAAGATTTTTTTAAATATTATCACCTAATTTCTGCTTGTTTTAGCCTTCCATGTGGTATATCTGTATATTCTTCCTGCTGAACTTGTTCAGCACAACACAACCTTACTGAGATTATCAGATTTTATGAGAGTGAAAATTATGACCATGATCTTCTCGGTTATGGAATACCAAGAAGCTGCACAAGGAAGGGAGAACAGATGAAATGAGATGTTGCAGTGTAGAGTCTACAGTGAAATGTTACTCTAGTGCTATCACCAAATTCACCAATATTATCTCAAAGGCTGCGCCGTAGCTTAAGAGGTTAGGCGCTGGCTTCACACCGCTGCGGTCTAGTCAAGTGGGATTTGTGATGGACAAAGCGGTGCTGGGGCAGGTTTTCCCAGAGTACTTCGGTTTCCCCTGCCAATCCTCATTCCATCAAATTCTCCATAAGCAATATCACCAGTACAGGTACAATAGGACATATGGAAGCCGACGTGCCGAGGGGACCTAATATGGATTCCACCTCACACTATATGAAATCTTAACTACTGTAATCTATTGTAAACAATTGTAAGTATTGTAACGTTATTCTCTTATTGTAACCAGCCAATGTACAGTAACTGACTTGTCCCATACCATGTAACAATGATCTACAGAGACAAAATAAATAAATAAATAAATAAATAAATAAATATGCACCTTGTAGGTGTTACTGTTCTGGAGGAACCTGGTGCTTCCATCTTCACCCACAAGACTACATGCTGTCATAATTTCAATCACAGTCTTAATTGATTACAACCTCACTGACCTATAACTATACAAGTAACAGAAGGGGTGATAATTCATTAAGTTTTTGGTCATGTAATGCAAGGGTCTGAAACTGTTCCTGCAACTTGACTGTGGTTACAACATACGCTGTCATACCTGTGTCAGCTGTGGAACAGGCAAGGCATCTAATGGCACTGATGAACTAGTAGTGGCAACAGGCATATTGTAGCTTTGAGTGACACTCACCGATGTGGCAGCAGTTCGATTCTCATTCAAAGCAGCAATTAAAGAACTGAATGCAGTTTCTGTTTGTTCCTTTAACCTTGTTCTTTTTCCTGCTGGAGATGGAGAACTAACAGACATGGAACTTGATCTTCTTCTGTGCTTCCGTGAGCCTCTTCTTGGAGAATGTGACTTTCTACTTCTTAATCTTGACCTCAGATATCTAGTTCCTACTGGAGACCTTGATCTAACTCTTTTTCTCCTTGGACTTCTTGATCTTGATCGTCGTCTTCGTGAAGATACAGATCTGGAACGTGACCTCCGGTATTTATATTTTCTCCTCCAGGGAGACACTGATCTAGATCGTCTCCTTGACCTACATGGGGATCTTGACTGTGACTTGAAAAATTTACTCTCTCTCCTTGGTCTAGATCTTTTCCTTCCTGGTGAATAAGAGTCACAACTACTTACAGGTGACAAAGATTTATAATTTATAATGCTCCGCTTGTGTGACATGGATGTGGATGTATGATGCATGGGAGCAGAAAATTTGGGATCATGAATGAGGTCTGATTTACAAATGTTATCTTTTGGCTTACTTGACCCAATCTCTGTCTTTGCTGAAGTATCTGATGTACAGCCTGCTGGTGTTCCCAGTTCTTCAGGTTGTTTCGTAGTGGAAACCGAACTGGGTGGAATTTTGGATTCATGTATGTGTCTACACAGGTATTCTGATCTTGAGTATCTTGGTGGAGATGGTGCCAGTGATTTTTGCTTACGCAATGAGAATTCAGGTATGACAACACTACGTATAGTGGGTGGTGATGGTATTTTGTCACACAATTTTCTTCTTACCTTTACTTCTGACCGTAAATTCTTGCATTTGCTCTTACAGTAACCAAATCTAAATGGTGACCTTATGCTGGGAGATAGTGAGCGAGAATGAGATCGTTTTCGTGTGTAACAATAAAGTGTAGATGAACCCCTGTCCTTGGATTCTGATTTCTTCAAAAGCTTTTGCTCATTTTTTTTTCGTGTCAATAAAGAGCCACTTTCATTACTGCCTATGTCTGTTTCTCCATATACTTTACTGCAGTCTGACACAATTTGATCACATGTTGGAATCTCTGATAAAGGCTTAGAAATGGGAAACGGTGAAGGTTCACGTTTTGAAATCATACAAAATGCATCTGTTGACTGACACAAGCTATCTGATGAAACCTGTGCTATGACATTAGCTGGCCACTTTTTCAGAGAAGTAAGTCGTGATTCTTGCTTCAGATGAGGCAGTCTGGTATCCCTCAATGGCAAAACAACTGTTTCTCTTCCGGACAAAGATGATGATAATGAAGATGCTGGCGATAATGTGAAATCCCTCCTAAGTTTTATTACACTGTCTTCTGTTTTGATAATATCTAAAGAGACTACATTTTGATCATCATGATGATAATTACTGGCGTCACAACACTTTTCCAGTGAAAATGAAGATGCAGCTTCTATCCATGGAATTATATCTGGTTTGACTCCATCCTGTGTTGATGATGTAGATTTTGACTGTTGCACAATTTCCCCAGTATTTACAATATTTGTACTTATATCTGACATAATATTTTTACTATAGACCCTTTTCTTCTTTTCTCTTCTCCTTTTATGCTTCTTACTACTCTGTAAATTTGTTTTAGATTCTGAGTCTCTTTTCGTGTAAGCGGTCGGTAGAGTCATTTCAGGTGGTTCTTCCTGATTAACACTTCTGCTGGGACTTATTAGAGCTGACATTGACTTTTCACCTGAAGTCTTCCTTTTGCTGTTGTGATACCTGTTGTTCACTTTAGGAACTCTTGCTAGCTGCTGTTCAGTTTTTGATGTCAACTGTCTACATATTACATTGGATAACTCATCTTCTGAATTAGAACCTGAACCTGTTCGCCTGCTGTTAACTCCTGCAACAGATAGCTTACTTTCTTCTTCCTGCCTTTTCCTCTGTAAAACATTGAAGACAGTCTTTGCAACAATGCTGCTGACACTTGCAGTAGATTCAGTGTTTTCATTTTGATATTTTGAAGTGTTTCTGGCTGTAGTGTGGGGTGTTTCAGTAAGAACATTTTTAACTCCCTTAGTGCCATCAGAACTGTCTCCATAACTTTCTTCAAAGAGTTCAATAGGAATAGCTTCTAATTGATTCAGATAACTATCAATTTCCTCATCAAGGTCAAAATCTTTTGTAGAATCATCGTTTTCTCCACAAAAACTTGGCTTGAGGTCACTCTGACAATTCACATGTTGTGGCATATTTCCTGTAAAATATAAAAAACGTCATTGTAAGGTACTAATAATTATATAAATGTGACCCACACACACTCACTCATTTTAAGATGCACATGTATTTCTTATTCATTTAACAATAATCTGTTGCAGATGACTTTCTCATTACTTTAAACATATAGCAATCTGAAATAATACATGCACAGGAAGCCAAGCACTAGCTCAGATTTATATTTTTTCAAGTTCACTTGAACATCGCCTTCCTGTACACTCTGTCCAATTCCCTTACCTCCTCAAGCTGGTAGTTTTACTTCTTTTCCTTCTCCTTTGCTGTCAGCACTGAGACAATGAACATTTTCCTTACTCCAAGTAAGTCCCACAATAGTGTCCCTGTAAGACATCAGGTATTTATGAAAGTATCTAACAGAAATGATCATGTGCAAATATATTACACAATAAATTATTTTGTTGTTACTGAAAGGGGAGAGAAGTTGCAAATTATATTTGGGAAAATATATGTATTTATTTATTACAGTAAGAACTAATTAATTTACCTTGAAATTAACATTACTAATTAAAACATATAACATAAAGATAAAAAGTGAAAAACTGCAATGAAGGACATTTGAAAGGCATGAACAAGAGCAAGATATTTTGAGACAGAACTCCCATAAAAGGCCACTGCTGTAACTACAACATACAAAGAACAACAAAGCACAAAGACAGGCACATGCTGCGTGATGGAAGGGTAGAATTAAAGGCATGAAAGACACATATACACAGCTTGGTGCATTTTTAATCTAATAAAAATACATTATATATACTAATAGTGGAACATCAAGTTCTAAATTTATTAACATAAAAGGTTGCCAATCAAATGTTTGGAAAATGAGGAATCCGTGTCTAATACAGAAACTCACAACAGATCGTGTGAAGACAGAGAATAAATCACATATACACTATTAATGCTAGCAGATTATTCTGTTTGCTAAGAGAGCCTTAAACACCCATACAATTAGATTCTTTATTCATGTTTGGAAATAGAGTGCATCCAAGTTCAGATATAGGATCTTAGTTCTGTGCCATCCTTAAGCGAAAGCTGAAGCCACACGTGGCTGAAACTATACCAAACAACATGTCAATTCATAAGGGATCTGCAGTCAGCATTCCAAAACAGAAGAAAAAATATAGATTTCATACAATCAACATATTGTCATTTTACATTGCAAAAAATGAGATCTTAAAAACATAAAACACAAGTATTCTACATTACATGATATTTGCAGCACCATCATCTCATGGTTTTGTAAAAGAGCCAAACAGGCGTACAAAGCAGAACACTTATCTTGCATTTACCTCCTTGCAACACAAATTTCTAAACCCAATTGAGAACAACTGGGCTCTCATCATCAAAAAGTGTATAGGTGGCGATAGTTGTCTGTAGTACTTGTGGTAATGGCAGTGTTGGATGGGGCAATTCATTCTTTTAATAAATACAGCCCTGGTTTTTTGACAACCCAAAAAGCAAGATAGTATAATAAATATGCTATTCAGCTGATTCCTCTGGTCTTTCAAAACCCAGGAAATGTGTTGTTTGCTTGTTTACATAGCCAGACAACATGATATAGCATTCCTCAGAATAACAGACAATGCCACAAAGTGCTTGTTTTCATAGAGATTGCAAGAATGAACCACAAAACACACACACTCATAACTGATGGACAATCTGTACACAATGAGAATAGCTCCAAACCTATGAACAGTTAGCTGTACAACCATCTTCCTCATTCCAGCTCCTTTGTGGTATAACACTGACCTCTCTTTGCAGGGACTGCAAGATTTTGTCAAGCACTTCACCCATACAGCCATTATCTGCGGAAGTTTTCTTCCTTCCACTATGACCTTCATGCTATGCACTTCTGCTTAACATCTGCTTTGTGAGGTCCTGCGATCAAACCATGTTCTGGAGACCAGCTATCTAGACTGAGGATTTTTGTTGTCATTTTATTCCTCAAAAACAAATGCTGGGAGAGCACCTTGCAATATGTCACACTTCCTGTAATATCTATTCAATTTATCATTCATACAAATATCCCATCATTTCAACTGTCCAACCTAATCAACCGAAATGCATTATTAAATAATGCAAAAAACGTTGTCACTAAAAACATGAATTCCTCTTGGATTGGGCATAAATTAGGGCCACCACTCTATGAACTTACTAGTGATCTGATGAAATATTGGTAATTGATCAGGAATATTTTTCCTGCAGCATCCTTACCATTCCCTTGCCATTAAATATAAATGGTTATTTATTTTGGGGGCAGTGGGTTCGATTCCATCTATGACACTCTGCCCTTGTGACCTCTACTGAATCATATACATAAATTTATGATTTGAAGAAAACGAACTCTATACATATTTACAAAGGGAAAGCAAGGAAAGGGGGGGGGACCTGATATCTCAAAGTTTGTTGTTGTCTCTCTCATGGATATGGTTTGGTTTCCCCACATATGTCCTGTAGCTACGAGTATTTAGAGAAAAGAAGAAGAAGAAGAAGAAAAGGAACAAGCCACAGTGCATGCATACCTCACTTTACATATTTCTACTACAATTAATAACTTACATTTGTAAATTCGGTGGCTTTTACACATAAAGTAACGGAAATTTCATCTTCAATTTACAAATTTTCACACCATATTATTAGTAGAAATGATCAGCGTTTGAATTACCAGACAGAGAAATTATAAGTACTGATTTGTAAGGGAAGTTAGATTATATAAGAATGAGGTCACAGAACATGGTCTGAATTATAGAAGGAGACAGGAAAATTATGTTCATTGATCAGCAACTGGTGGTAAATTATATATGCTTGAAGTCACAGAACAGTCTAACTGTGGTGTATATTTGAAATTTTGGATGACTAGTTAAATAATGATTATAACAATACTTAAAAAATAACCAAATATAAGTGCTCTCTACTAGCATGGAATAAGGGATGTAATAAGTAGGACTATAAAAAAGTACATTCACAAGCACACCATAAGGCAAGATAACAACAGACAAGTTACACGGATAAAATTATTTGTGTTAATCATCTAGTAGTATTAATTTCTCAGAAGTACATGCTGAATTTAAGAGTCACATCCTGGTCTCACGGTTGAGTTCTTGAAATCTGTATCTGTGACTGAAATTGGTGTGCTAGGGTGAGCAAGTGAACTCATAATGGGTGTGTGTGTGTGTGTGTGTGTGTGTGTACTGTTTGAATGAATCTCAAACTGACGCTTGAAAGATGCAAAGTGGCTGAAAGTGATGACATGTAATCCTCAAGAGCATTATTCTTTCAGAAGTGTAACGAATGTCCTGGACTAGATAAATTGCAAAATTTGTTACCTACAAGCAGTGGATTTCCTCTAATACAACAACACTTGAAACCACTCAAATCCAAGTGACAAATTTATTGATGTGTTAAATTTAGAGCTGGCAGTCTGATAACCACACTCTTTTGTTGCTGTTCAGCAAGCACTGTATTTCAATGAATTGAACTTTGACTTATAAGAGGGTGTAGTCATTATGGTGTGTGATCCTGCTGAAAAATATTTCTTCATGTTAGAAGATGAGGCACATGGACTGCACTGGAATAATTACATTAGGAAATAATCACCTGTTGACGAACTGTCACACACAAGCACAATAATTATTTCTGCCTTACACATGACACTACTGCTGTTCACATTTTTCATTTTCTTCACTACAAACTTGCCTGTTTCAACGTTATTTCTCATACGGGAGAAGAGCACAATTTAAGAACAGGGAAAACATAAATTATACATTACATGAAGATTTTTGAGTTCTGCTGAATGACCTTTTTCTGCCACTTCACATGGTATTAAGTACATGTGACACCTAGGGGGAACCATAAAGAGACTCGCAGCAAGTGTGAGCATGAAAAACTTAAAAAATTTGACACTACATGAAGATTTTTTGGTTCAGCCAAATGACATTTCTGTGCCGATCTGCATGGCCAGAGTCCACGTGATGCCCTATGGTGACCTGTAGAGAGACTGACAGCAAGGGTGGCTTGCAGCGATCCTATACTGATTGGCAAGGGTTCAATTGGGAACAAACCAATATACAGAACATGACTGCGCCTGTTACTAAACTATAATTCATAGATGAAAACCATTTTATTTAAAACAAATTCAAGAGCCCAACAAATAATACGGAGAACTCTTTTAAGTTTCATGCTTTTCTGCTAAGAAGAAGGAATACATAAGTTCCTCATCATGCAATTTTTGTCATAAGAATCAGCATGTCTAACACGAAATTTGTGTTAAAACAGATGTAAAATATAAAAGCGTATACTTACCTATACAAACATGAACCATAAATTGAACAATGCAATAAAAATACACGTTGCCACATGCATAATTAAAAACATAACCTATGAATTATAATTTCACTACAATTTTACATATTTTCGAAAAACTGGCCTTGAATTGTGATTACACAGAACACACACCATTTACATATGTGCAAAACACAATCTGATATATTTGCTTTACGAGGCTACAACGCAATGTAACCACAGCTTAGAATGTGTAATATTTCAACTCCTTCAACAATACACTGCAAACCTAGCACACAATAGGTGTCAACGACTGCAGAAGATGGGGAAAAATGTTGAAATGAAATTTAGTTTAACGTGAATGAATTCCACGGCTGCTACAAAAGCCAAACTATTGTCTGAACGAGACCAAAACTTCAGGGCATCAACTCCTGCTCCGGTATCAATTATTGTTATCAAAGGAGAAATGATAGGAATGAGCAATAAGGTAATTCTACTGCAATAAAGCAAGCCAGGGATAACATTCTCACACTTGATGGTCTGTGGATGAAACTTACACTATACATTCCCTTTCAGTTTTCTTTCGACAGCTGATATTGTAATTTTATTACACAATTACGTAACTACTATTTTATTGTATCATTTCACAGTTCATTTAGTAACGAGAGATAGCAAAATATAAAACAGCAAGTTCTATATATGACTTACAAAGCTTGTTTTCTGTTAAAATGTCTCAAAGTGTACAGACTGACCTACTGATTTTACAAACTAGAACAGAAATAATTAGAGATCTATTTTTGATGTAATAACAACGCTTTGGACCATCACTGTGCTGGTATACTTGTATTTTAGGAATTTTGTTTACGAAGTAACAGACGTCTTGCATAAATCTTTTTTCCTCTAGCTTTAAGAGCTCTGTAACTGATTTTGCGTATTCTTTTTTGGTGTTCTCAAACAAAATGTCCATCATTGTTGCCCTTTAGTCCTCGTAGAGTTTACAATTCAAGAAGATATGTTCCTCTGTTTGCAACCTGTCACCACA